AGAAGGGGTAAATCGTACAAGCCGAGGGGCTGTTCATAAGTGACGTTGGGAGTCTTAATGGTAGTGGAGAGCGACATGGTTGCACGAGAGTATCACGAATAGATGCAAGAAAGAGAAAGCGGAGGGGATCTCCACGGCTTATATATAACTTACCTATACTTGACAAAGACTGGTCTTTGGTTTTCGTTGACTTTCTTGATGCGGGGTCGACGCCACGTGAGCCACTTGTTGTCATGGGTAATGGGATGTATCTGTGTATTGTCACTTTGTTACGTATGTATTGATACACAGTCTATGCAGGGAGCTTCCATCGTACTACATAGTACCTCAGTGCTGTATATTAACCTAGAAAATCATGTTAAATCTGTCGTATTGGACATTCATATTTTCCCTTTCTGCTCTTTCTTTTTTTCTCCTATTTCAATGCTCTTTTTTGATTACATATGTATTCATAATACAAGTTCTGACGGGCTTGGCACGGAGCATGGTGTACTCAGACCCACTCGGGTTAAGGCCGAGGTAAGATAACATATTAATCCCGGCAGAACTTCCGAGCAGGCACAAGTGCATCCTTAGATATGTATAGTTTATGAGTTTATCCCAAACACATCATGTTTTGCCTTTTTTATACAAAAACCTTCGCCTTTTATTTCGGACCAAAGGGCGACAAGAGGGGCAAGTGGGGAATGTGATCATCATGATGTCTCCGTACGCGGGCTAACATCTCCCCGGTATGTGGGTAAGGTATGGTTTATCGTACAAGCTTCGAAGCTTCAATTTCTTTTTTTCTTTTTAATCGGCCGAGAATAAGCGGACTTTATTTTGGATTGAGATTCCAACCTTGGAAGGTTATGGTTCTGAATGAGGAAGTATGGATCACGTGACCTCTAGATCGGGTAATATTCAATGTTCAATTGTGATTCTCTGAAGACCCAGAAAAATGGGGCTGCTGTAGCTTTTGTACTAATCATCACGGTAACAGAAGCCGCAGATAGCGTCAGCCCTGGAATTTTTTGAAATTCCATGTTCTTAGCCTCTTCATTTGGGAGCTCTCAATGTAGAAATTGCTCTTAATGCGGCTTTAGTTTATGCATCGCCAGCACCCCTGCATCACTTTGTGTCGGCGCGTCTTGTCGAGTCCACCTTGAAACGTCGGGCAAAAAGAGAAAGAAAAAAAAAAATCCAAATGGCGTCCCCTATTCTCGCCACTTTCACATGGCCCGCGGAGTATCCACCAAATCCATCGAGACTTGCATCGCTCGACTTGATGTTGCGCGAAGGGAATCTTGGTCAGATATTATCAGCCACTCGAGTGCTCGGAAGCTTAAATGGGATTTATATTACTGCGCAGATCTTGAAGGTCATTCTGTCACGGATATTATCGTTCTAGACTAAATCGCTGCGGGATCTATCACACGTTTAAGAGACTTTGACAGACCTATAAAAGTATAGTAGTAAGGCAGAGGTGGATAAGGTCATAATGGGAATTTTCGGCTAATCAAAAGTCCTATTCCATAGGGTTATGAGTGCATTAATCGCTCGGCTTTGAGAGCTGAGTCATATGGACGCTGATTGTCTTTATAACATACGCATTGGATATCTCAAAGTTTAGTCAAAACAGTTCATGTTACCCTATGAAACGCTGAATCTGTGGTTAGCGAGTTCGGCAATTCCACGGAAGTCGAATCGCGCGAGGCAGTGAAGAACATTCCGTGCCTTCGAGATCATAACCTTTTTGGACTCCATGACCGAATGGCTTGTTTTGGAGGAATATGATTATGCTCTACGAATACTAACGGTGGCACGCAGACTTCAGACCTCTTTTTCCACGCTTGCAATCCGATCACTGGATTGCTTTGTTTACCGATATTCTGCCAAGAAGCTGTGAAATAGGTACATTTTGCTTGACCGGGGACCATTACGTTTATGTTGTTTTGCCGGAGCCTTCGTTGAGCCTCAATATTGAACCTCCAAAGCAGCGTCGGAAATGGGGGCTGCTTTCAAGGCTATTCAGGCTATTCAGGAAACGATCGAGAGCTTATTGGACAATTCCTGGAATGCTTTAGGGTTCACTGACATGGATCGTGAAGTCACAAATAGCGTGGCCTAAGGCGTTTAACTAAGATGCTTTTATTCTTCGTTTGGTCAAGTGGGCTTGGATCGTAGCGGCTAATCCGCCTATATAGAGAAGAAGACATTCAATTGGTTGACAATGGACGTTGGTGGGTCTATTGATGTCCTTTTCCACGTTGTGGAGGAAGCAGAGTCTAATCTATTGTCGTAAGGTTGTTGACTATATCGTCTTCATGACTTACGATTTGCACGGGCAATGGGATGTAGGAAATCCCAATGCCCAACCGGGTTGCGATGATGGAAGCTGTCTGCGAAGCCATGTCAACATGACGGAGACCAGGGAATCCCTTTCCCTAATCACTAAGGCTGGTGTGGACTCTGGCAAGGTGGTTGTCGGCGTCAGCAGCTACGGAAGATTGTTCAGAATGGTTGATGCGTTCAGAATGGTTGATGCGTTCAGAATGGTTGATGCGTTCAGAATGGTTGATGCATTCAGAATGGTTGATGCGGACTGTGATGGCCCGATATGCAAGTTCACTAGAAGTCGACTGCATTCTAATGCAGAAAAGGCAGACTGCACTAATACCGCAGGCTACATCTCAAACGCCGAAATCAATCAGCTCTTCAACCACAACTCATCCCGCGTTAATAAACATTATGTTGACACCCACAGCAATAGCAACATTATGGTCTACGATGACACGAATTGGGTGGCCTACATAAACCCCGAAATCAGGGCTCAGCGCAGCAAGACTGATTTCGGGGCTCAGCGCAGCAAGATGTACCAATCCCTCGGCATGGGCGGCACGGTCAACTGGGCCACCGACTTGAAAATTTCAACGATGCCCCTGAGGACGTTTAGGATTGGCCTGGTATAATACTTCAAATGAAGTCTGGTATCATCACGCCCCGAGGTGCTAGTAGCCGTAGTGGGAACTAGACTAAAATCGGCGCCTACTGCTGCTCCTTGCAAGGTTAGCATCGCGCCTGCGGCCGCCTCAAACATCTCGTCTACCCTCACCGTAGGACAGTGCATTGCTCCTACCCCTGCCATAAGCTGCCCAGCCAAGAAGGGCGGGGCTGCTATCAACGAGGTGACTTCTCAGTTGAAGTGGTGGGCTGCCGGTGTATTGCTTGTTGGAATTTTTTTATTTAGATGCGACTCTGTTCATATTTCCGATGTGTTCGAGTATTTTAGATGTATAAGATGTTACTGTTTCAATAAAATTGGAGTTTTCAATATCGCTATATTTTGTAATCTCAGGAATGGGGCGAACATAGGGGCACATTCACCTTGAATTGACGGAGTCCCTCACCCATCAGTTTTGTTAGCTTTTTCGGAAACTCCACGCCGCACACGGCTCTTAATCTATAATATGCCACTAGTCTTCCTAGCCGCAGGCCTTGCGATACCAGAGTCTGTCGCGGATCACAAGCAGATAGACCGGAGAACCTCCGGTCGCCCCAGTACGACCTGGACCATATTGGTCCTGTGGCTTGCCAAAAGTCACAGACTGCGTCACTTTTATGGAAAACGAACGAGCCGTTCAGTCCTGCAGATGGGTGGTCAGGATCCGTCCTGTGCCTTGGACGGCCGACAGATGAGTCGAGCGGGCGGTTGTCTTTCAGGACTTTCAAGTGCCCTGCACCACGCTCGTCAATCCCGAATCCGGCACATACCATCAAGCAATCGTTAAAGGGGGGATCTTTGCTCCCTGAATCGATACGGTCTTCCAAAATTTTCACAAGCAATGACCAACACCGGGGGAGGGATTCCGACACATATCCGCGCCGCAACAGAGAACACGCAGGTTTAGACAGTCGGGTGTTCTCGGCCCTTTAGGAAAACTTCAATTTGCTCTGACTGTGGTTTGCTTGACGATTCCCCTGAAATTCTTGCTCTTTACTGTCATTTTTAGACTGCTCCCCTATTAGACTGCTCCCCAGTCATGGATGAGTCAATGGTGCGGTCGAAAATACGCCAAACATCATACCCATTAAGCCAAAAAGGCATAGCCAAACTGATTTATGAACTCAGTTTAACTGCAGTGGTATATATATGTAGGTGATCCACAGGTCATGTGGGATCACAGTAGGATAAGGATCTATTTTCTATAATTTATAGACACCGCCGGATTTATCTCATCTAGACCTTGACATTTCCCATAGGACTCCCACCTTGGGCAGGCTCCGCGAGAAAACTTTCTATCCGACTTGCACCTTTTCGACATCCTTACGTAGCCGCAAATTCAAATCGCCCTCGATACGATTCTACTAGTTTGATGTCTCTCTAAAGTGGAGAAAGACGTGGCAATTGACTAATCATACTTACAATATCCTATGATATAGTGACTCCTATCTATCAATTTACGATCATCGTGCATTAAAAGATATGATAAGAGAACAGAACTGGCCGTACAGAGTCTAGCAAGACTGTAGGCCTCTCTAAACTTTGCTGTTTTTTGTACATAGTTCGTTCCGCTATGTATTGTACTAGGAATTTTTGTTGCGGCAGAATAATGGCAGGAATTAGCGGTGACTGAGAGGGATAACAGACACTGTGGCCGCCTATTTTGGTCTATTGGCACTCTCAGCGAGAGTAAGAGATACGCTAACCACATTTTGACATCCCAGTTGAAATTCTCCGGTATCGCCCGAGGACTTGGAATGAAGCGGATCCAGCTCGCCACTTCATGCAACCTATTCGTTAATTCATTGCGACCATCGAGTCTCCCCGCTACGCACGCCTTCTGTAAGATATGCTGTGGTAAAATCCGGGCTCAGGGTCAGGAGACAAATCATGCGCCGGCGATGGTTAATTCAATTTTCTGCCCTATCAACTTTCGATGGCAGGATAGTGGGCTTTGGAAATAAAGAGAGGTCAGAGGTAAAATTAATTCCGAAAAACTGTGTAGATAAATAAGTAACTAATTGGTTCTTTGACAAATTTTGGACAAGAAAACCGTGAAAACCTTTTTGTGAAGTCCGTCTGTCTCATCAACTGCTTCGATCAATCGCTGAAGCTCCTGGATACGCTTATCCTCAAAATCCCTGTAAGCTCCCTGAAGATCTAATTCGCCAAACACACGTCTAACATTCATCTCGCACTGACTATCCTTGCGGCCGTAAGACTCATCCAGGATGGCACGCTGCTGGGGACTACAGCGCAGGATGGCCTGGTTAACGAGCCAAGAGCACTTGTTGTCTTGAATATCGGTGCCAATCTTGCCGGTGACACTAGGATCTCCAAATAGATCCAGAAAATCATCTTGTACTTGGAAGTACTCGCCCATTGGTATCAAGATGTCATGAGCCTGGCGCAAATTGTCAGGTGTTGCCAGCTGAAGCCAGTGCAAAGCGAGTACAACAGGAAGGTAGAAACTATAATACGCAGTCTTGAACTGGACAATAATAGCGTACTTCTCCATAGAGAACCTTCCCAGATCGACTTTATCCTCAGGGGCTATGATAAGATCACATAGCTGGCCTAGCTGTGTGTTGAAAGCCGCTTCATGAAACGTCTCGATCAGGTCCACATAGGCAGGATGACCCCTAAATTGTGACTTTAGAACCGAAAACACAGAAGATTCCAGCAAAACAGCGTCGTTGATAGCCATTAAACCTATATGTGGCTGCCGATACCAGCACTTTTGCCCTCGCCGTGTAATTGAAACGTCCATTATGTCATCGTGGACCAGGAAAAAAGCCTGAAGTAGCTCTGTCAACCATCCCAGTGTGGCCAAAGATCTGGTCTCATAATCGTTCAGAGGTCGACCCAAAAGAGCGCGGCCGGTATCCAGGACTGAAATACCCCGATTCAGCTTCCCGCACTGCGTGTTGTAGTAAAGACACTATAGTTCAATACACCCAATTAGTCCCGAATTTATCAGACGCAGAACCTAGAGAGTTTCCATACTTCCTTGAATCGAGCGATGACTTCCTGGGGAAGATTCTTTCGGCGTATAGGTTCCAAAATCTCCTCCACGACTGAGGGGAATAATGCCTCGAAATCAGCTCGCACGGTGTTTTCATAGTGTTTGTTATCAGAGCCCATGGTGTACGGTTTTGTGAGAACGGGACTGGAAGAGTCAATGGAAAAAAATAACTAAGTCGCAAAATATCTACTGGGGAAAGCTTCGTCATATATAATTTTACACACGTTGCCCACGTGGATCTTTTACGCTCTGCGTGGACTTGGCTAGAAAATGTGATAATAGCAGAATGTAAAACGCTGCAGGAAAGGCTCGGTAAGAAGAATCGATGAGCTCATACATCAAGTCCTGCATATTCGAACTCAAAATTGGATTTGTAGACTTTCCTTGCTGCCTGGTTTCACATATCGTTGGTCAATGTAAGATGACAAAAGCGATGATTTCATTCTTAATACAGATTTTCGTTATCAACTTGATCGACGCTGCAACCGTGTCCAGAACTGGATCGGACTTCCGAGATCCGCTGATCAATACACATCACGGCTGATGTGGACGTGCATAGCATATGCATGGTCCGAGGATTTTCCCCCAATCTTTCTACGTGAAACAAAGGATGGTCACCCAGCCAAAATGGAGGAATAGAGTCCGAATGGCATTCTCATGATTCATACAAAACTCGTATAATTGCCAACCTCATATCGTATATTTAGCTATGAAGGCTGACTAGCCTAGATATTGAATGCAGACCTCCCAATCTTTTAGTTGATAGCATCTCACCGCTGAAAGGCTGGCCAACTCCTATCTGTCATATCAGGCAGCTTATTGGTCTCAGTGTATGATGAAGGTAAACTAAGGTTCTATAGATGTTTTCAGACAAACTTAATAGATTCTATCGGGCTCTATGTAGGAACATTTACCTTTTGACATGATCATCAACAATGCACCGCAAGGATTCAGACATTGGGAAACGTTTATGCTTCACGCGTTCGCGGTAACCATCCATAGCAGGGACAAAGTGTATTCCTGAAGATGCAGATCGAGCCAAAATCGGTGCGCTAGGCTGTATGTTAAGACACTTCATATACCTTGAATAGACACCCTGGAGTTCATGGTCCAAACGCTGTTTTTTATCTCGAAAGGGTGGGGTACCCATATCCATAGTTAGGGCTTCACCCACCGAGCTCATAGATAGAACATCCGCTAGGAACGTCATATTGATAGCAGAATTGACAACCCCAATAGATTCTCCATGGTTTGCAGTCAGGAGGGCGACGGTGGCACCGTGGGTGTTTGCTGCAACGTCTCGCCAGTTGCTCTCGAGAGAAGGGTTCAGGCGAGGACCAGTATTGATATCCATTTCCTGCTTATCAAAGTACTGGACGATATATTGCCGCAGGAGACAAAGTTCCATGAAGGCAATGGAATCAGGGTGAATATTTTCCTGACGCATGCCGTCCCACATTTCAGTGACAGAATGACCAAGAAGACGGAAGTCGCCATTCAGTAGGTGACGCGGAGGTACTGTCACGTCTTCCGAAATTGTAGAAAAGGCAATGTAGATATGTTGCCAGTAGTGACCCTTCAGCGACCTATGCCAGTGGCGCCACCACTGGACTGCATCCCGCATTGCATAAAGAGCCGCCTCATCAACCGAGGTGCCGCCTATATCCTTGCAAATCGAACAGTGCTTTGTGTGAAAAGTCGAGTTTGCCTCAGGGTCATTGCCAATTATCCAGTGCAATCCCTGGATTGCTTGATGAGGATCAGGATTGGAACAAATCGTCCTGAGATTTTCGAACAGTGACATCCGATTCACTTTAGCTTCCGGATGAGGTTCAATTGCCGAAATATGGGAGTTCTCTGACTCTTTCGTAAATTGGCCGTGGACGAGGCTTTTAGAGTGTTCCCCAGGAGTGTGGCAAACGGACGTCATTGGAAGAATGTAGGTCAGGCCAATGCGAGATGGTGTTCTGAACCAGGCTTGGGGGGCAAGAAATAGTTTATGATGAAGTTTGGAGCCCGGAAACTGAGCAAGTCAGGTAATCCTTATGTTTGGACCTCGGAGTTGCGATGACTTGGGTATTAATAAGATTCTTTCCTTTACCTAGGTAAGATAGGGTGACGTATTATCACATCTTGTTTGTACCATGTGCAACGCAATGCCTTCACATCCTATGATCATCTTTCTGAAGTGTCAAGAGCGGGACATGGGTAAGGAATGACTCAAACAGCAAAGATTAACGATTAATTAAACCGTGCGCAGTATCACTAGTCGTAAACTACATCAAGATGATGATGTAGACAGAATGGAGGGAAGGTTTATCGGGACTGCCGAAGCAAAGATTGTGCAACATATCATTTTAACCCATCATCTGTAGTGTTACACCAAACTCGTATAAGATTGGGTAGACATGCGGAGAATTGTTTTAGGAACTCTCCTTCATAAGCAAACCCTATTCCCGAGGTCTTATATTTTTACCATGAAATGTTTATAACCATGATCTAATTGTCTACCGCCCAACAGAGTAACCGCAGCGAAGTTAAAGTCAATCGATAGCTTGTGGGAATCAACTCTACGCTGTGAGCGGAGGAATAGGCCAGCTAAGATTATAGGGCCATAGAGTAAGGCGAGGGCCTTTCGGGAAGTATGACATAATTCAAGGTTTTCCCGAGGTCGGCTTTTACCACTTCAGGCCCTCAAGCTCGCTGTAACCTTTACGCAGCAAGCGTATACCGCACTGCCGTTCCAGGTCAGGTTCTTTGTGCTACCCAATTTACCTACATGTTTTTGGTTGATGATATTGCGGAAGAGTTCATGGAAGATCTTCAATCATTCGGTCAGAAGTGGGTTTCAATTCACATTTTGTTTTATCCTATTTATTTATGGGGATGTATGCTGACGCTGATTTATCTAGTTTCATCCTCAACAAGCCCCATAATCATCCTCTTCTAAATGGATTTGATCTTCACCTCCGAGAGCTCTCCTTGTATTATGGCCCATACTGCCACTCTACAATTCTCAAGTCTTTATTCGACTTTGTCAATGGCCGCACTATCGAGGATAAAATGGAAAAGTCCAACTTCAAGTTATCTTCTGACGCTCGACTCATGCCTGTGCTATTGAAAACCAAGACTGGAGGCGCAGAAATTCTTCTCCATCTTCTATGGCCAAACACTGTATTTCCGGAAGATAAATACGTCATGAAAATCTTTCCGGCACTTCAATCTGATCTTTTTCACGGATTTTACAAATGACATCTTGTCGTACCACAAGGAATTTGTGCTTAGGGACGGAAAGGCAAATTTCGTGGATAACTTTGCTCAGTCACATGATATGCGGCACTTGGATGTCTTGCAGCATCTGACGAGTTACACACCCAAAGTAAGTCAATGTTATGAATCATCGAGTTTGCCGAAGTACTCTAACACTGGATCTCCAGGTATTAAGTTCGGCTTATCTAATGATTCAGGATAGTCCACCCTAGTCAAGTCGATCGAAAGCTTTGCTCGAGGTTTAGTTCTCCTCTGTACGGCACATCGTCGGTACTATCTAGTGGAGCTTTTTGAGGATGAGCAATATCTGCCACCCTATGATGAGGATTCATAGATTGCCTGGTTCATCTTTGCTTAAATGCCACCAAGATCCGGCGTGGTTCATTTTTCCTTTCGGGTTCCTCAATGCTAATTCAATGATGATACTTTTGCCATTTTCTCACCTGGGCAATTTACTTGCGGTTTCTATATTCTCGCCCTACAATAACAATTAGATTGTTTTGATTTCTCCTTGGTATTTCAGTAAGGCTCTGACCTGGCTGGATGGTCCTTGGTAAGGTAGTCTTTCGCTTCAGGTGTCACAGGTGAAGTTTATGAAGATGCTGCTTGTATTGATGATTAAAGGGTCAAGGATCGAGCTATGGAATCAAAGCTAAATCACATGAAGGTTTCTCCGTCAAAGTAACTCTTTGATAGTTGCCAATCTACTCGAGGAGCAAATCTCTGTTCTTGTTCCGGTATCTATTTGATGCACACCCCTACATGTTCATATATGGATATATATACTTTGTAGTTTTGATAGCCTGTATATCCCTTTTATAGTTCGATTCACTACTAGACCAACATACGAATCACACACCTAGTTTAGTGGGTAGTAGTCTATAATCAACTTTTGCGAGGGGTCAGGGTAAATGACATCAACCAACCAACAGACTGTACCAGCCAGTTAATCAACATCCTTAGCCCTTTTTCTTCGTTGGCAGAATATGACATCATTTACATATTAAGTTCATCCTCTAACAGGATTGTAAGGTGCTATTACGGCAAAGGCACGAATTCGCCACTGCTACACTTCGAAAGTGTGATGTTTAGCGCACCACGTACATGTACGATATAGCACTGCATGTAGCAAGTTGTTCTCTCGCACTGAAGACCGGAATTCCCACCGGTTCCTAAATGTACTGAATACATGAGATTGCACAGAAACCAGATCAAGGTGTAGTTAAGCTAGCAAAATCTATTTAATCATAACAAGGGACTAAAAGCCCCGCGGAAAAAGATACCTAAATCGTGACCTTAATGCAATGCAATGCAAGCCTCCATACGCTGTACGACAGGACGGCTGAACGGTAGGACGGCTGAACGACATGACGGCCGAACGACAGGACACATCACACACTGCCCAAATCACCAAATAAAGACAGAAAAAAAAAGTGCCGATCAAAGTGAACAATATAAATACAGGGTAGCGATGTCTCATATTTCATATCTCATAATTCTCTTTTATTCTTACCTAACCCCCTTCTTCTCACCCGACTACTCACTCTCAGTCATGTCAGCTGTATCAGAGCCCGTCGCCATCATCACCGGTGCTGCCTCGGGCATTGGACTCGCTTTGGTAAAGCACCTCATTGCTAAGGGCTGGCGGGTGGTCATGGCCGATATCAACGATGTGGCTGGCCTGCAGGCTGCTCAAGACCTAGGGAGTGATCGCGTCGTCTTCCACAAAACTGACGTGGGTTCATGGAGCGATCAAGTATCTCTATTCCAGCGCGCATGGCAATGGAGTGGAATGGGACGACTCGATCTGCTAGTTGCTAACGCTGGTATCTTTCGGCCCGATGATATTTGTGACACAGGCAGTGACGACACGCCCAAAGAACCAGCGTTAGAAGTTTTGAAGGTCGACCTCTTCTCGGTCTTCTACGGGCTAAAGCTCTTTGTGCATTACTCAAAGAAAAATCCTCAGCCTAGTGGAAAGGTTGTGGTAACTAGTTCCCCAACTGGTATCTATCCTTTCCCCTTCGGTCCCGAATACTGCAGTGCAAAGCACGGAGTGCGTTGACCTTCCTATAAAGTGGCTTGGTCTTATACAGTACTAGGGCTAACAATCGTGCTTAGGTGATTGGCCTCGTCCGCTCTATGGGTCCCCGCCTTCAAAAACAAGGCATATATATCAACGCGGTTCTCCCTGGTTTCGTGCTCACGGGCGCGACTCCAGCTGCGGTTAGCAGTCTGGTGCCTGAAGACTACCTAACTTCGCTTGGTGCCGTTTGCAAAGCATATGACATGTTTGTGGATGACTTCACTCATTTCGGACAATGCCTCGAGGTCTCGGTAGACAAGGTTTATTTTAGCAACCCTCCTGCGTACTGCGACGAGGCCCAGGCTTTTATCACGAGTGAGGTGTGGACAAAGTTAGATTGAATTGTTAAATCGTTCGCAGTGACCGTGGTACTTTGGGAAGTTATTTCTCTGTCTAGTTGCAAAATGTTCGAATCTCTCATAAGTCACATGGCCTTCCATGGTGCTAGACTAGTTTCTACTTTCCTCCTCTCTCTCTTTTACATAGCTCTCACACTACAATATCATCATATTGCCTCTTCATGATTTCATCTACTAGATTGTAGATTTAAACAGCTTCAGAATGCTTTATCGCCACAACACGTCCTACACAATCTGTTTGGAATGCTAGACATGTTTTCTGTGGATTCTTGCTTATCTTGAATATTGTGTAGTTTCCACACTTCCACACTGCCTTTTCTCGAGGTTCTGATTCTCTATCGCTCATTCTTTTCGCAGGAACTCGTAAGCTCCGTTGCAGTGTTTCATCTACAGGCAATTGATCCTGTCCAATTCCTGTCAGCGCCGTGAAAGCATGCGCTGAGGCTTCCATATTACGGGGATTCTCTTTGTTGATACTAAGCGGTAAACCTCGTGTAGAGTTCCGAAAGGAATAAAGGATGCGAATACGAATATAGGAGCATTTATTCGTGCGAATATCCCTGTTATTCATATTCGCATGATTTTATTCATATTATTCATATTCCCTTTATGGTTAACCGCATCGGGTTAAATGTAATATATATTACACCATGATACTCACGTTCGTATTTGTTCCTGGAATCGTACAGAGCAACCACTCTTCTGAAGTCGGTTATCTCACGTTGTCAACCTAGTTACTCATGTTCTGAGATATGCCGTACATATATGAAGTGTCCAAGAGCCAATTTGGGTTTCATGAGAAAGTATCCTTGTGTTAACCAATGATACCGATTGTTGGTGTTCCCATGCTCATTTCCTTATCGAATATATATAAACATACCTTGTAGTCTTGCTGCCAAGTAACTAAAAACGTTCATTCTCTTCTTGCACAGCAAATTCTCGTCCATTTCCCTCCAAAATTCACACGATTTATGTGCAGACCTATAGACACGTGAAAACGCGTCTGGCCAGTGATTTTGGTGGTATTAAGCTTGAAAATTCCATAGGGCTTTCCTTCTGGGGGTTCAACCTCAGGGTGCACTCGCGCGTCGATAATGACAGGTCATATTCCAGCGCTTGTTGCAAGTGTCATTCTCATGTCTGCGCGTAAAAATTTTACGATGACACGAATAACATCCGTCTTGTTTCGACTACTGTGTTCGCATACACCCTTCGATCATAGTTTCATATAATGGAAGGACCAGAAGGACCAGAAGCCCACGACGCGTTTTTTGAAGTCGAGTCGAATGCACCCGATAGCCCGGCTCCGTTTGAATTGGTGTCGCAAATTTTGAGTTCCTCATCGCCTTCTCCGTCTGTCCTGGAAGCGTCTGTCGTCTGATACAGCCAGAGTCCGTTACAGTTCCGAAGCAATCAAGAGAAGGAAAGAAACATCGCACAGTAGCTGGACGCTTCAACACTTTTGGGTGACAGTGCTGGATACCAGTTGGAGCCGGAAGGGAGGCCCTCTACGGAACGACCGACTTCTGATCTGCAAACGATGTAGTTGGTCGTCAACGGACTCGGCGCGTCATGGATCAACGTCAAACTTGTTGACGCGCCTTCAGTCAAGACACCGGATAAAGTCGGGATCAGTGGCGCCATTTGCAGATAACGCTGTCAAGACCCTGGATCAATTTGTTCGCCCGCAGTTAGACGTGGAGCAAGCTATCATCCAATGGGTTGTCCAAACGCGCCAGCCATTCATGGTTGTCGAACGTCCTGCTTTCAAGGCCATTTTCCAGGCTGCCAAGGCTGATCTACCTATCAAGTCCGCCGACACCCTCTATAATCGGGTTGAAAAGAAATTTGTTCACGGCTGAGATCATTTGAAGCAAGAGTTGGGAGCGGACTGTCACACGATTGCTCTTTCGCTCGATACCTGGACGTCCGAGCACCAACTAGCGATCCTCGGTGTTATTGGCCACTGGATCACTCTGGATTTGACAAACGAGAGGAGCTATTGGAGTTTACCGAGATCCAAGGTCCGCACTCGGGAGAGAACCTCGCTGAAATTGTGTTGACAATGCTATATGAAATGGAGATTGCACCTAAGCTTTTTTCATATTCTAGCCCTTCGGGTGAGCCGGGGCTCTTTGAGAAGTAGTCCTTTTGTAACAGAGTATTGCTGGTCGGATCCCAAACCCCATGCTGCGCCCAGAGGCAGTCCCCGAGTCTCCAGCCAGGATCTCGCCACCAGCCGTAATGGCCACACTCGGATCGCAGCCAGACCGACTTGTTTTTCGGGTTTATATGCTTCTTACCAGTCTGGCGTGGTCCAAGCCTTCCAAATCGCCATGTCGGTACTTCACAACTCCTCCCGGCCCCAAGAAGCATACCCTGAAACGCGGTCGGGGATGTCCCAAGCCGAAGATGCTGCTCTCGTGGAAGTTTCGAGATATCTTGGATACCAATAAGTCCCTTATGAGGTTCATTTATACTTTCCCAGCCGATAACCACATCGTGATCGAGGCCCCCTGTATCGTGGATTTTTTGTGCGAGATATTTGCACGCCGCAATATGGCGGCTTTGTAAGAAATCCTGGATATTTATACCATCAATGATTGCCTTTGGCGCAAAGTCTCGTCCAGCCCAAAACAAAGTGAACATAGTCTGACAGGCCAATCTCGAATAATTTGTACACCAGAGCATCTTGGGAAAGCCTTCAGGGTCTTCTGCTGTATGATGAGAGAGGGCGACCTCCGTATTCTTGAAAAACATTGGATTCAGTCCAACTGCATAAAAGGTCCATGCAGGTGCCCCTGATCCTCCTGACAGTCGGGACCACTTTGAACAATTAGCATATACCCTGGGAGGTTTTGAATGAAAGGTAGTCTTACCACGTCTTGATGCGATCCATAAAGATATAGAACTCATACTTCTTCGCGATGCCAAGTATTTGAACAGTGAACTCCACCCATTCCTCGTCGTAGATACCGGGGCCAGCGTGTTCGATGGCCTCCCAAGTAAAGAGATATCGAATGGTATTATATCCCCATTTTCGCAGTCGCTGGAAGTGGGCATCGGCATGCTCTAGAGGGAATGGCCGTCCAACAAACGAGACATTGTCCGCGTTGAAAAAGTGCTCGGGGTCATGGGATCCCAGATTTGGCACTTTGGGATATTTAGCGTCACCCGCTACATCAATTCTCTTCAGAGTGACTTCTCGATTCTGGGGATCTCGGAATGACTGCCCCTCGACACGTAATCGCAGTTGAGTCATGCTGACATGTGCGAAACTTGGCCACGTTCAATGCAATTGAGCCGAGCACGGTGATGGTAGTCGAAGGATTGAATGTGGAGGAAATACCAGAGGACGAGAATGCTCAAAGCAGAATTCCGAAAAGAAAGGCAAAGAAAATTGGATGGATTGCAAGAAAATTCCTGGGGTGCATTTGTTTTAGAAAGAGAAGCCAGTACGTGCATGACGCTATCAACCTGAATTCATCTAAACGACTGGGGTATCAAGCAATATGAACGCCGAGTCAGGGCTCAACAGTAAATTGTGAGGAGGCTTTTTAACGAAGGACACCTCAGCAGATGAACCGGAATAAATTCCAGGGACCAATAAGTGGCCAATCACCATCCCAGAAATACGCGTATACGAGGCTAATTATCCACTCAATTGAGGCCGTTAGCGCCTACCAAACTGACACTTTGTCAGGTAAATATTGACAAGTGCTTATCAACGAATCAGAGGCGTTTTCCGCATACGGTCCATGGAAACCCACTTTTATTCCGAGAGGTTTAGTGTGGCTGCGAGGAGTGGGAACGGAGCTACGATTTGACACGAGTACGCGTACTCTGGCCAACGCGATTGGCCATCGGAATTAGACTATGCAACCCTATCAATTGGCTCCACCAAGCTAAAATTTCCTTCACATACAAGGTATAAAAACGTTTACAAGGCCGTTCGTTCATTGCAGTCTCCACTGGTCGTACATAATTTCAATAACTTCAAAATACCTCAAAGTACTTCAAAATGACAAAGCTAGAGCCTTTGAAGAGCGGCTATTACGTCTGGCAATATGTCCCCTCTATGGTTGCGGCCGTCATTTTCTTGGTGGTTTTCCTTCTCGCGACATTTTTCCATTTCTGGAAGATGTTCCGGACAAGAGTGCGATTTACACTGCCGTTTGCCATTGGTGGCATATGTAAGATGCTCCCTGTTACCGCGTTTTTCGCTTGCTGACATATGTCTTTAGTCGAGATCGTTGGGTATGCGACCAGAATCGATTCTCACAATAATACTGGGAAATTGATGCCGTACTGTACCCAAGCAGTCTTCATTCTCCTGGGTCCAGCTCTCTTTGCTGCATCGGTCTACATGGTGCTCGCTCGCATAATTCGCAGCGTCCATGCAGAGAACTACTCTGTTCTGCCACTGAAGTGGGTGACCAAAACATTTGTCCTGAGTGATGTTGTCACATTTTTGGTTCAAGCAGGCGGATCAGGAATGATGGTCAATAGCAGCCTTACCAACATCGGGCAAGGCGTGGTTATTGCTGGCCTATGTCTGCAGGTGTTGAGTTTCTGCCTGTTTATTGTCACTGCATATGTGTTCCAGACACGGATGCGTCGCAATCCGACTGCAGAGTCATTCGATATTGCTATCCCCTGGAAACAGCATCTGCATAGCCTCTATGCTATCAGTGGCTTGGTGCTCGTCCGATCTATATTCCGAGTTGTGGAGTACGCTATGGGCAATGAAGGCTACCCACTGAGCAATGAATGGACACTGTATGTCTTCGATTCTGTACCCATGTTTGCCGCCATGGTGGTCTTTGGGATCTGGTACCCTAGTGATTTGAAGCCTTTCCTTGGGGATAGAGCTTCTCAAAGCAGTGAGACTATCGAGACCAAGGCATGATCATGAAAGAAAACACATTTTATTTTCTTGCTTTCTAGTTTTCTGAGTCTGTTGTTGTTGTTATTTTCCTTCATTTTTTTATTTTTTTTTTTGTTCTTTGTTATTTTCTGGCTTGATCACTTTGCTCGTCATTGAATGCTCCACATTGCGGTATTACACGCTTATTTACGAATTATCTTGATGTTATATACATATATATAGAACATTCATGACATTTTTTTTATATAAAACATCGTTACGTGGAATATTGGTTTTCATCAGCTATATTGGACGCACAATATACCTGAGCCTTCCGTCTTTATATCGGCGGCTGACCCTAAGGCACTATGAGCATACTCTACGGAAAGCAACGCGAAAGACTATCTATATCAGCTCTGAAGTATTGAAGGAACTGGTGTAATTCAGTTAATCCCCTAGCTTTGTGGAGCTGTAGAACCGGGGCAAAACATTCAATTTCGTTACATACGAAATCCTGATTTTGGAGACGTAGCTATGTACCTAGTCGAGAAAACGTGGTTAGGCAACAGGACAGAATGTGGGCCCCATAGAGTAATTCTGAGGCTAGTGTATCGGACCTCCACACTCGTAACACGGATTCGTAACTATGTGAATCTTGGAACCCCCTTTCCTCCCCTGCCGAGGCCGATCAGACCATTAAATAGCCTGCAATGTATCCGATTAAAGGCACACGATTCTTCACCTTGGATTTCCTTCTCAAAATATCGCCCCAAGGGTGAAACAACATGTTTTTCTCACTTCGAGCGTCGCTTGCGACTGCTGTACTTGCCACCAGCATCTATTCTCAGGAAACCTTGCTTACGATCCAGGTAAGTCCAACAAAATTATATCCTTGGATTTGATCAGCTGGGAACTCCCTGCTAATTCTGACCGGCAGCAGACGATGCGATCGATGCCACCAAATGGGCTGTTGCGAGCACCAAGGCAAACCAGCTGATAGCCAAATTGAATTTGACTGAGAAGGCGTCTATGGTGACCGGTACTGCCTATGGACAATGCATAGGAAATGCGTCAATTGAACGTGTCGGATTTAGTGGCCTTTGTTTGTCGGACGGCCCCCAGGGCTTGCACCTGGCTGACCTTGCAAGCGTCTTTCCATCAGGCTTGACTGCGGCAGCAACTTGGGATCGAGATTTGATCGCTCGACGGGGTGCCGCAATGGGTGCCGAGTTCCGCGAAAAGGGTGCCAACGTGATGCTAGGGTTGGTTCTTTTCTTCCATAGAACACATTGTGCAGACTAACACTTTCTTTTAGCCCTTCGACTGGTCCACTTGGCCGTAGTCCATGGGGTGGTCGCAACTGGGAGGGATTCTCCCCGGATCCTTACCTCTCAGGAGTTGCCATGCAAGAGACTATCAGGAGTGCACAAGCGCTTGGTGTGCAAGCTTGTGCCAAACACTTTATTGGCAATGAACAAGAAACCCATCGGACCAACGAGGAAATCAACGGTGTTGATGTTGCTGGCGTTTCTGCCAACATTGATGACCGCACTCTACATGAACTCTATCTCTGGCCCTTCGCGGATGCAGTCAAAGCTGGTGTTGCATCGTTCATGTGCAGCTACAACCGAGTCAACATGACATATTCCTGCGAAAATGCTCCGCTTCTCAAGAAGATTTTGAGAGACGAGCTAGGTTTCCAGGGCTATATGATGTCAGATTGGTTCGCAACACATTCAGGTGCTCGTGCTATCAATGCCGGACTCGACTTGAACATGCCAGGCTATCTTAGCGAGACGGACTTCACTAATTCATATTTTGGATCAAATGTGGTCGCTGGCGTTCAAAATGGAACTATCTCTGGGCGCCGATTGAACCAGATGATCAGGCGAATCCTTACGCCATACTTTTATTTCAATCAAGAAACCGACTACCCCACAATTGACCCATCTTCATACGCCGTGAGTGAAGCTACTTATGGTCTGCTTTCTGCTGGAGCATCTACTCCGGCAGGTCGCGATGTCCGTGCGAATCATTCAGCATTGATTCGAGAAATGGGGTCGGCTGGTACGGTTCTCCTCAAGAATGTGAACAACACTCTTCCCCTCAAGTCACCCAATGTCATCGGAGTTTTCGGCAACGATGCCCCTAATGTCTCTGCTGGACTCCTCTATCCCAACAACAATCGCGGCTTCAAAATCGGCACCCTCACCGTTGGCGGTGGTTCCGGCAGTGGTCGCAATCCCTACATTGTCTCTCCCCTCGATGCCATCAAGGCACGTGCGAAAGATGACCGTTCCCGCGTGATCTACCTCACAGATAATGACATGATTGCTAAAGGTAATTTCAATGGTATTTACCCTTGGCCTGATATCTGTCTTGTTTTCCTTAAGACTTGGGTTCGCGAGGGAATCGATCGAACCACCCTCGAAGCCGACTGGAACTCCACTCAGGTTGTCAATAATGTTGCATCAATCTGTCCCGGAAAAACTGTTGTGGTTACCCATACCGGCGGTGTCAACTCTATGCCGTGGGCAGACAACGAAAATGTAACTGCCATTCTCGCCGCGCATTATCCTGGTCAAGAGTCTGGTGATTCGATCGTGGATGTGCTGTGGGGTGATGTCAACCCATCTGGAAAGCTTCCCTACACTATTGCCAAGGAAACCTCTGATTATAACACTCCTATTCTCAATCTGACTGACGCAAGCGCCACTGACTCCGATGCATGGCAAGTCAATTTCACAGAGGGGTTGATGATTGACTACCGGCATTTCGATGCCCAGGAGATCACACCGTTGTACGAATTCGGTTATGGTCTAAGTTACACTTCTTTCAATCTCTCGAAGAAACTTTCCGTGCGGTATCATAAGCATGCTAAGGGAGACGTGTCTGCGTTGTCCCTTTCTTCCAACAAAACGACACCCATGGGCGGCAACTCCGATCTTTGGAACGAAATGATTGAAGTTGCTACAAGCGTGGTTAACACTGGTGATGTGTCTGGAGCAACTGTTGTTCAACTCTATCTTTCTTATCCAATGGGCTCGATGCCATCGGGAACTCCAGTCAAGGTACTTCGCGGTTTCGAAAAGGTGACTCTACGCCCTGGAGCTCACCAGAACATTCGCTTCTCCCTTCGACGTCGGGATCTCAGTTTCTGGGATACCCAAGCTCAGCAATGGAGGATTCCTCAAGGTCGCTTCCACATCAGTGTTGGCTTTAGCTCCCGCGATCTGCCTTCCTCCATCTCTGCGCAGATACTTTAGAGCTGATGCGCCGTTCTTCTGTGACCTCACTTTTAATAAACTTAGATCATTGAACCTGTCACTCTTTATTTTGTTCTTGTAGTTTCCTTTGGGTTTTCCTGACATACTTCAGGATCACGGAGATTTTGACCTTCGCCGTATATTTTCATTTCTAGTTTTTGCCACCTTTCCCAGGATCTAGTTCATTGTCATAGAACCGGATTTCTCGGCTTATAAAATTCAATACTTCTTTCTATCCCGAATCGTATTCGCATACCACGTAATTATCTAAGAATATCATAGCAGTAAACAAGCGTTCTTATTTCAGGGTCACTATTACAACTAGAAAATCCATGTCTTATTACCGAAAATTAGTCTATTGATATCAAGTGGAAAGTTTGGGGCAATACAATCGATGTAACAGACCTAGAGGAAGCACCTAGTCCCTCTTCGCTTCAGCAACTAACCAGAAGTATGTTACCAGCTTTGAAACGGCGTAATTTTCACGATTTCAGCAATACCCAGGAGCGCGCCAATCATAGGCCATTTGGTACGCGTATTCGGGTAAGGCTGTCCAATTAAAACCTTCCCGTTCCTCGTATATGCAGCCTGAAATCTTTGCTGGTATATAATTGATACCGTCACAGATCACCAGAATGGCATAGTGAAACAATATTTTGGTGAATTATCGACACAGCCCCTGGTCTAGTAGTGAGTCTGCTCAAAGAACGGTTCACGCTTCTACTCCACTCGATGGCTGCCTGTTGGATCGACTTCTGGCTGCGGATACGTGGTGAACTAAATATACAGCTACTTATATATATTCCTCATCCACAGACAGTTTTACCTAAACTCAATATTTGACAGTTCTCTCTTTACGCTCTCCGCTAAGATTCGATCTTTACCGTCACACTCTTTTCTTTCCATTTACTTGGTTCTGTCCTTCTCCTTTCCCTCCTGCGAAACAATCAAGTGTTCTATTATTTTTGTGCATTGTTAAAGCTAGCCTTTGACGCTACGGTGAACATCTTTCGACACAATGGGGTCTTCAGGTTACTACCCTTATGAGCCGAGTAAGGCAGGTGCTACAATTGCGATGTTGTTGTTCGGAGGAAGTTTAGCTGTTCATCTTTGGCAAATGATAAAGACAAGAACATGGTTTTTTACCGCTTTTCTTATCGGTGCTTTCAGTGAGTATTTCCCCTGCACAAATAATGTTTCTCCAAATAGAAAGTTGCTAATATACGACACTAGTGATGACGCTGGGCTACATCTTCCGTTTACTCTCCGCACGAAACCCGGATAGCCTTGTCTCCTATATCTGCCAGTCAATGTTCATTATCCTCCCACCATCTCTTTACGCTGCGACAATCTACATGACTTACGGTCGAATCGTCAACTTTGTCGGTCAACCTCATCTATCCATCGTGGCACCCCGCAAAGTGACAAAGATTTTCGTTTCGGGAGACACTGCTGCCTTCCTCCTGCAGCTAGCTGGTGGTGGTATGCAGACTATCAATAGTATGCGCAACATTGGACAAAAGGTCCTAGTTGTTGGACTGATCGTCCAACTGATATTCTTCGGGTTCTTCCTCTACGTCTCTGTTGCCTTCCAGCGTCGGTTGCGCAATGCTAATCTCAATATGATCGGAGGCCCATGGCGTCGTCTTCTACACATCCTGTTTCTTGTATCAGCATTGGTCATCGGGCGATGTGTATTTCGGATCATCGAGTACGTCGGCGGAACAGATGGATATGTGTACTCGCATGAATTTTACATGTACATTTTCGACATGGTTCCTATGTTCTTTGTACAGGCAATCTTCCACTTTGTCCATCCGGGCAGAATCCTTGTGGGCAAGGGCCCTGTCGTTGATAATTATGTGAACCTCCAAGATGTGTGATTGGAAAGTATGCCTGTGGAGAGCGAAGTGACCAACATTTACATAGATGACCCGTTTCTGGTCGAAAGTTACGAACCCACAGCCACCAGACAATGATGTTTTCCGTTAAATAGAGATACTTATTAATAGCTATTATGGATACGAATATTAAGGTCGAAACGGGCACAGAGACCCCGCTAAGCATTTTTGAATGAGAAGGGGTTTGCAAGCTGGCCGAGTCAGCATTTAAGCTTCATACATGGGCAAAAATGTGAGTGGCCAACGGCGGATTTTTAACCCTTGCCTGTACCAGAAGCCTCAAGGGGTCATACTCACCCCTTTTATATGGTCGAAATAAACTCATTGCGTTTCCTGGATGCTGATGTCCAAAACATAAAGCTTTCCGGTTTGATTTTAGCTGGAAAGGACAAGAGTATGATTCAAGCAAGAAAGGGGCACAAGAAATCAAGGAATGGCTGCATCGAGTGCAGACGTCGCCACGTCAAGGTATTGTATTCTATCATAAACAAAACATCATCGGGCAACAGGACAGCCTGTCCAGGTGGACAAACTGTTCCAGGCTGACTTGTGCAAAAGTGCGATGAGACACACCCAAAATGCGTCAATTGCGTTGTTTCAAAGCGTCACTGTTTATATGAAGATATGGTGTCAAAAGCGACTGGTTTAGTGTTGCCTTCCAGACCGAAGTCAAAGCCCACCGCCAAAAACAATAAAGTATATGTGAATTCTTCGCATGCTGCTGATCCCGGTGTCACAAATGACAGTCCCCCGGTTAATAGACTGCATCTAGAATTTTTCCATCACTTTGTTACCGACATCTTGACATTTCTTGGCTTCGACAGGTTCTCACCTGCGGGCTCTGCTATCGACATGACGAAATACATCTTGTCTGCGCCATTTCTTATGAACCAGATTCTTGCGTTCGCTGCATTACATCTCAGCATCGTTCACCCGACGAGATGGGAGTTCTACCAATATCATTCGTCCCAGCTTCAAACGCACGCTCTTTCTGAATTTAATGGCGTCAAACTGGACGTATCCGCCGAAACTTGCGTCCCCATGTTTCTTTCTTCTTCATGTCTTGCAATGCATGTTCTCACCGAGAAGCTGTTGTCTCGTCCGGATAGCTTCGAAACGTTTCTCGATCACTTCATTCAGTCATTGAGGATGCATCGTGGCGTCCGTGCAGTTACCAGTCAATCGTGGCATCTGCTTTTGCAGTCACCGCTTAAATCTCTGCTTGAAAATGAAGGAATGATGTTAGATCAAAGTACCTCCGGCAATGAGTGTCTCGAGCTCCTAGCTCATGTGGATACTATGTTTGACCCAGCGATCGGCTCTATCTACCGACAGACGGTCGAGGACTTACAAGAAGCTTATCATGCGAGTCGCTCCCCTTTATCAAACTTCTCCAGAATTGGCCCAATCATTTCCTGGCCAGTCATTATTTCTCCAGATTACATAGATCTGCTTTCGGGGCGTCGACCAGAAGCGCTTGCTATTCTGTCCCACTTCGGAGCCCTTCTACACATGCACAATGAGATGTGGACTTTTGGTAACAGTGGTCTTTATCTCATTTCTTCTATCAATCATTACCTTGGGCCAGAGTGGGAGAGTTGGCTGCGCTGGCCGAATACGTTTATTCAAGATGAGTGATGGAAACACCCGAGCCCCGCGTATCTATTCTCCCAAACCAATTTCCACCATGTATTCTTTAATTTTACGCATTAATTGTGTATTGCAACTGATTGTGGCAATATATCAACTGATATGAGGCTTGGTTGAGGTAGTATGCAGAAACTGAACCGCAACTCATCTTAGAGACTGTATCTATGTTCTTTATTTCAGACTTAAATGTAAGTTTGAAAAAGCGGTTATGTTGAAATATATAATGAGAGCGACGACACATGGATGTGCAAAGGCAGTATTCATGTAGGTTGTAACCTGAGTAAGTCGGCTCAGTGGCAGATATTGCCCCAACAGAAATCAAAAATGCCTTTACTACCACCCGTACGTAATTTTTGTAAGAATGCAAGGTATAAATATTGAAAGAGGGTGTGGCTTTCGGTCAACCGAGAAGACGAAGCCAAAAAAAAAGAAAGGGGCTTTAAATTGTCATAACCAAGTCAAAGGAGCAATGGAACTTCGTTTAATATTAGGATCCATCAATCCTAACGTAGCAGTCATTGATACTGCGTAATGTGGGGCACTTGGTATCTCCGGGGTTACCCAGATATGGATACTGAAATAGTATTTGGGAATGTAACTTTCCGCTCAAGCCGTTAATAAACCGAACTATTCCTCTGATTCACCAAAGATGAAGAAAATAGACATAAATATTCTATGTGGCATTAAGATTCTCTTTGCCTGGGAACTGCAATAGTATGTAACTGATCCTAAACAACGTTGTGGGTCTCGGCAATACTAGCTGTTAATCTGCCGAGGATGCTGGTCAGCTAATTAGAAACCACGAGTTCCGCGTATTCGCGACATTGCGATTCGATAGCTATTACCGAGATTAGAAAGGTTCGCCAGGTTGAAACATTTTCAATAGAAACAGCTGCCAAGAGTTAATCAGGAGCTGATGTATTTTTTGAAAACTTAAATACACAAAAAGCAAATCATGATCGACGCGCATCAAGCTGCGCAACGAGGTGATCCTATCTCATGGATTACGACAAATTGAGGCTAGTAATGGTTGAAGTAAGTACAGAAACATGTTTTAACACGTCAAGGCAGATTTGCCGCGACCATCTGATTTTCATCTGCCTCGGTGGTCTCTTCCAGGATCGACCCCTCGACCAGCTTGACTTTTCGCCCCTCCCACAGGTGATTATCCCTGCCAGGAGAGAGCTCAAACAGCCCAGGCCAATGAAAAAGCCGACTCCGAAGCTCGGACGAGTATGTCGGCTGTATACCCACATGAACGTCGCCATACCAATTTGGAAAAGGCTGTTCAAGAGCATGTTGATGACAAGGAAGTCCATTTTCCGCGTCTTGGTTGCCGGTGCACTTTTGCCTGCCAGGGTCTTGCGAAGCGGGATTTCGTCGCAGCTTCTCTTAAAATCACAATCCCACATTCTAAACCAACTTGCATTTCGCTTTGCAAGATGCCTTATCGAACTCTGTGATCTTTCGCCTGATCCAATGCGCCACATCAATAACCAATATGTGTCACGGATCCGCCAGGGCGCCAGCCCCCAAGAAGTTAAACAGAACAACCCATTGAGAATTTGTGAGTCAATTTCAATCCAAGTTTCTTTTCGCTCCTTTCTGATCTGACCGACATTTAGCAAGAGGAAAATTAGCATGGCACCCCAAGCAATCACGTTGAGACCGTAGACAGTGATGAAAAGCCCTGCATGTGGACAGATAAATCGCCAGGTGGCAACACAACCTTTCTTGAACGCTTTGCTCCAAGACTGTCTTTCGTGATCACCTTTGGAACTCCCAGAATGATCATACCGAGCACCAGAAGGCAAACTCATGTGATTCACCAGCTACCTTCTTATTCCCCGAGAGGTATGGTTAACTCGCAGTTGCAATTGCTCTTGGGGCTTTGCCGGCACCACTCGCAATTTGGATGCTCACTCGCTGTATGCTTCAACCATGCATATCGAAGTCTACCGCGTCGGGTGATCTCAGGTCCGTGGTGTTTGGAGCACGCGATAGCAGTGCCGGTCGCTTGCCACATACCGCCTGCTGGATTGTAATCGAGCAGTCTCGTGGCAGTCGAGATCGAGGCGGAGCGAATTGTCCGTCCCGTTGTCTGTAGAAACGGCGTTGTGCTGTCCATATTTTTTTATATCTCTTTAGCTAGTTGCTCATCAGGCCCGATCCTCATGTTGTGGGGCTTAAATCTTCAGCTCACGGTGTCGCAGTAGTTCAAGGTAAGTTTCAAAGCAAAAATGTTGACAAACTAATAAGGCGGCTTTTAAGAAAGGACTGCAATTATTGATAAATCTTGTAGATGGTCAGGGTCTGAGCGAAAGAATGAAAAGGAAACAGGGCCTTCATAAAGTTTATGTGGTCTGCAGCGGCACTCAGGGATTCGCTTGCATCACTTGTCGTGTTGATCGATGCTCCCAGGGTGAAAACGTGAGCGTATGCGGTGCGCCAAGCAGAAAGAACACTTCCACGCATATGTGTTGGGACGTGAGCAGGCCCGCGGCCGCCTTGCAATCCAAACAATAACATCGTTCCAGCTTCTGGATTCTCAGAAACCAATGCCTGCTGCAAATATTCCGTCAAGTCATTCCGAGCAATGTCCGATAACTCCCTTCGGCCCATCAGGCGGCTGGTCATCAGGCTGACAGCCCCAGCAGAGTTACTAGATAACGGTTCAGGCTTGCAAAAGACCAGTAACTCTTACTAGACGTCTGTTAGCGAGAGACGTTTAGATAGCTGCCGTTGCCCATGGATGTGACTCGGACTGCTAACTTATTAATGATATGATCCATACGATCAATCGTCATGTTTAAACCAACAAAACCAATCACCGCTGCAACACCGGGTGGTGCTTCCTTAAGACCCAAGGCCATTGACCTTGTCTTAGTGTATGCGGTGATGTTGCCATTCAAACCACCGTCCATAAGGTCTGGGATCGAAGAAACAACTTCCGACAGAGCATTCCATGAGGCAGTCTCGCTGGTGTTTGATGAGTCAGCCGCATAGAAAGAAAAGCCGCCCATGACCACATTTGCCGGAACTGGGTGTGTTTTTAGAATAAACTCCATCACCACTCCATATTGGCCTCCTCCGCCTCCACGGACAGCCCAAAAGAGACCCTTGTTCTCTACACTGTTCGCGACGAGGCACCTGCCATCGGTAGTAACCACTGTGACCTGGTAAACTTGATCCGATGCAAGACCGTGGTGGCTAGACAAAAATCCATGACCGCCATTCTGGATTAGCCCTCCGAGGCCAACAGTAGCATCTTCACCACCAACAACAGTTCTTCTCATACGGTGAACTGCAGTGTAAACAGAGCCCCAGTTGTTGCCGCTTCCACAGACAACAACATCGTCGGTTTCATTCCGACCTGGCCATTGCCAAGCATGTCGTCGTTCGATATGTTTGAAATTGCGTGTCCAAATAGAAAGCGCGAACGCTCCAGTTGACCTAGGCGAACATTAGCGACTCATGTAGAGATCCTAAATTACCCACTACAACATACCGGCCGTCCAGGTCATGCCCTGTTCCTTTCACGACAATCCGAATATTCCGTTCAGGCCCATTTCATTGCCTTAGAAACACATGTTCGACTGTCGTAGCGTTCACAATGTACTGCGGTAGCCCACCAATACTGCAGCCTTTTCCCCCGACGTACCCAGTGGCACCCTTTGGAACACAGGAGTTATTCGTGTAGATTGGGAAGTCGATGCTCTCGGGCCAGGCAGCATGAAGTGCTGCATAAGACCATTTATCCTGCACGCTGGTACACTTCTCGGGTGAATCGAATGGATTACCTGGGTAGCAAGATGATGCAACTGGGGCAGTTTGATCAGAACTCCCTCGATGGAAGGGTTCAATGCAGCCCATTCATTCGCTGAGGGCCATGCTGAATCTGCAGGCAAAACTTTACAGTTCAGGCTTGCGAATGAGGCAGTCACGAGTGCTGAAAGCAAACATATAATTTTCGGTAAAATCATTGTCGCGCTGTTGTGGCCGACATTTAAAGCATTGAGGACAGTCCGTCCTTTATACACCGCGATAACCGGGATAAGGGTGACATGCGAACACGATTGAGGATGCTGCAAATGGCAAGTGATCATCGAAAACATCACTCCCCTGGATCATGTACGAATACGTATTAGTCAGGGGCTACCCAGGTGTACCGTCACAACCGTTCGAATGGATGGCCTTCCAAAAAGAAAAAAAAAAAAGGCCCCTTCATGTCAAAACAGCTCGGAAAGAGAGAAACTACGGCGTTTGTTCAGCCCGTCTACCTGCGATCGTAGCGCTAGAATCTCCTCCTGTAGCTCCTCATCCAGAGTATGGAGCTCGTTCTGGCTATCTTTCACATTTTGAGAATTCTACATATAATCTGAAACTCCGAAGATGCGAGATAACAATCTCTTTGGCCTCCTATGGCAAGATATCCGGGTATGACCCTTCGAGATCAGCGAATAAAGACTAGATGCTCTGCAACATAAGGTAGGTAGTCAACTGAGACCAGGCTGTATGACGTGGCATATAGACAAAGGGCAAATTTAGAAGGACGCCCAGACTTTTATATCTGGACCCCAGTCATTCTGAGCTAGGTCTAATTAGGGCTGCCAAGGTATTCCTCTTACATCTGGGTTGAAAACCTCGAAAGGACTACGCCTTATGTATTGGTGTCCTTTAAGTTAGTATCTCTTCTTCACCTCTCTCTTCGCCTCTCTTTTGCCCTCTTTTAAACACATTAGTTTAGAGATATTATAGCCGTCGAAAGATAAGCAGAAGGTATGAAAAGCGGCTCAGCACATTGTAAGAAGATTACCTTGGCAGGCCTGATTAGACTTAGCTGAAAATGGCTGGGGTCTAAATATCAAGTCTGGGTGTTCTTTTAAAGTTGTCCTTTAATATCATGTCAAAATAAATCTTGATCAAACATGTTGTTCATGCACAATCTATGGCTTTGAATGGTTACATGCACACCCATAAGGGCTTTCAAAGAACCAAGGAGGATGAGTAGCTAATAAAAGATAAAGAAAGAAAGAGAGAAAGAGGCAAAGAGACAGTAGAGAGATATCTAGGCACTGACAAACTAATACACATCACTCACATATCTACTACTTTTCACACTGCACAGCCACAACTCCGCCTCTTCATCAGTCTTTCCCTTCTGCTCCATATAAATCTTCTTACAAACATCTGCTACACCTTTCCCCAGCCGTGCCGCACTACCACACAAGAATATTTTACCCCCAGAGCGGAAGAGGCGCGCAACTTCTTCCCGATTTTCCCAAATGACATCTTGGACATATCGTGGAGCGGAACATCGAGCGGTCTGCTAAAGGCCGACTTGACCGTGACGATCTCCATGTCCTCCCAGGACCGCAACTCGTCGTGGTAGAGGAAGTCATTGTTTGGGTCGCGGCATCCATAAAAGAGAATTGCCGGGGCAAGCTTCTTCACGCCAGTCTCGGCGATACTGGCACGTTCCTGCAGGAAAGCGCGCATTGGAGCTATTCCAGTTCCTGCAGCCATCAGGATGGGAACATCCGGACTTGTAGGAAGCCGGAAATTGATGTTGGTGGGGTGCACGTAGCAGTCAATGTAATCGCCGGCGCTGCGCGAAGCCATGTAGGTGGATGCGACGCCATAAAACATGCCGTGGCCAGAGATGGACGGCGATTCGTGTACATCAAAAGTTATAGAGGCGACGTTGGAACCGGAGAAGCCGTTGCGAGGATGAAGGGGGGACGAGGAGATGGAGTATTGGCGAGGAGTGAGTGGTTGAAGCATATCAATATAGGTACCAAAATCAAGGTCTGTAGGATGGTCTTCAAGCACATCGATAATACTGTAGCGCTTCTGAAGTAGATCGTTGTATGCATGCTCGACTGTTAAACTTTGAAGCTGCACTTTTGAGTCTCCATTGGCGCTCGCTGCGAGAATCACCAGCTGGCGCTTTGTGATTGGAGTATTCAACTCGACCGTACTCTCAAGAAATTGCATGACCGGCATCGGCTCCGTAGGCATAAACTTCTTCTTGGGCCCTTGGACGTGCATGATGTCGTCTTCGCAGATGCCAAAGTATTTGAGTACCCGACGAACACCTGACTGTGGATTTCTCGGCTGCACCACGAGATAATCTCCAGCTTGGTAAGACTGTCCTTCTAGGAGGCATATGTCCATATGTCTCTTAGCAAGTCCAACATCAGCCCCTGCAATTCGTAGTTGTTGACGACCCGACAAACTGCCAATTCTTGACCGCCACTTGTTTGAGATCGTTTGCGGGGGACGATTGAGACGGAAATGAGTGGCCGTTCATCAAGAGCCCTGTCATCGGATGATGCCAGCTTCTGCAGGAGAGTTTCAGACCATTCTTCCCAAGGTCCAAGGATATTGGTTTTGACATCAGCAAATCCTGCCTCCAGTATGCACAAAGCCCCAAGTTGAGCCATTCTCTCATCCACAAGCTTGGGGATCCGTTGGTAAGTTCTAGCCCAGTCTGAGTTCCCTACTCCGAAAACTGTATACTTGACTCCATCCAACTTGTTTTCTTGCTGAATGAGTTCTAGCCAAGCAACGAACTTCTTTGAATTGTCTGGCGGCTGACCCTCATACGACGCAGTCACAATGATGACTGGCTGATCCGTGGGTAGGTTCTCAGTCGCTGCATCCATGTGCATAATGGTGGGTAGATAGCCAAGTTCTGACGCTTGCCGCTCAAATTCCAAAGCGAATCCCTCACATGTTCCGGTATTACCACCAAATACAATGGTGATCGCAGATCGTGAGTTCTTAGCTGCAATGGACTTTGCGCCTGCTTTCTCCATCCGTTCCTCAATGTCTCCTGCATTGCTCCCACCAGGGACTCCCGTAAGGAGTCCTTTTCCATGGCGGCGCCGAACTTTCGTTTTGAAGGTTTTCGGCTTGATTGTGAGTGTCGACACAACCGCTAGTTCGTAAGAAGGATCGGCGAACTCAAGCTGGAATTTTTGAAAGACCAAGGCAGTGTTGATGAGCATCTCCTGCTCAGCAAAGCCCCGACCAATGCAGGCTCGCATGCCGTTACCGAAGGGCTTCTACGAGTTAGGAGGTAGAGATGCGAATGCGCCGTTGAGCATACGCTCGAGCCGGAACACATTTGCATCCTCGCCCCAGACGGCAGGGTCTGTATGCAATCCGCGCATGTTGCACTGAACCCATGTGTTGGACGAAACTTTGTACCGTCCGCCTAGCGATGTGTCTTGCTTTGGCTTGACCACGAGCGTGGGGATTGGGCTGGAAAGACGCAAAGTTTCCTTGATGCATGCATCGAGATAGGTCAAACTGGGCAGGTGTTCAAGCGTTAGGACCGAGTCCCCCACGACTCTGTCGACTTCTTGCTGTGCTTTGATAAATGTCTCAGGATTCCTGAGTAGGTTATAATAGAGGAAGCACAGTGTACCACTGGTTGTCTCGTGGCCGGCAACCTACGCATGTTAGCCACACCTGCCTCAAAAGCAATATATCTAGTAGCATTTTCCGACTCACAAGGAACGTCACCAGGTTAAACCGAATGTTTTCATCCGAGAGCTTTTCGCCAGTTTCTCGGTCAGCTGTCGACAGCATCGTGTTTAGTAGATCTTTGTTGTCGGGCTGCGGGTGCGCTTCCCGATCCCTAACGATTTCATCCGCTACAGCATGCATCTTGGAGATGTCTTCTTGGCGCTCATTCTCGCTCCAAGTTAACACTTGGTTGACCAACCCAGGCCTGAAAGCCCGTTTTCCAGAGGCTAGCAAAACTCGGGCCATCTGTCCTGCGAATGGATGCACCTGCTCACCATAGAACTCGTTGAATCTGAAACTGAAAGCACATAGACCGATGGTATCGAACGCCAGCCTGGTCAGATCGTCGGCCATGTCAATCTCATTCTGGGCACCAAGTCTGTCCCACTTAAGGACCATTTCTGAGGAGATATCAAGCATATCGTCGAACATTTTTCGGACTCCGAGAAGCCCGAAAGCCGGAACCAATAGACGATGGGCTTTCCCCCAGTTTGTCTCGGTAGGATACTACTCAGTATCATAGTATATTAGTAGGACAAGTTTACTGTCCAGGAGCGATAACTCATGAGCTTACGGCAGTGAACAGTCTAGTCTATCTCCAATCAAAGGTCGAAGCTCGGTAAGGGGCCCGTTCGGTAGTTTCTCGAATCGATCCTGGTCGTAAATCTCATTCACGTATTGCTGCGGGGAGACTACCACCATATCGTCCCCAAGCTTCAATTTGAAAATTGGTCCGTATTGATCGGCCATTTTCCAAATCGACTGGAAAGGAAAGCTTGCATCCATTTCCGGTATATGCCCAAAGAGCCCAAAGAAACGTTGACCAGGCAAGGATATATCTTCTAGCTTAGAAGGATCTAGAGTAACATTACTGCTAGAACGAGACATGTGAAAGAAATTGGATACAAACCGGGGAAGGAGAGGAGATGTGAACTTGATATCTTCCTTTCCCGGACACCGTTGGAACAGCCTCTTATATGTCTATTTTCTTACACATTTTGTTTCTCTTTTAATAAGCGGCGTTTTCAATGCATGGTAGCGCCGTTGCAGATCCACTACGAAGTGGCTTGGATTCATGTAGCGCTTGGCTTGGGCACGGCCAAGCCTCGGCCTTAGAACTTGAGAGTGAATGGATTTAAGACGGAGATTGAATCCTCCCGTCCCGAGTGTATCCAAGTGGAGCCGTTGGGATTGCCAAATACTAATTACGGAAATATGCAACGTGGATTAACTGATATCTCATGGGTGTTATAACTATCGATTCTTTGTTGGGCAGTCCGACTAAGCGGAAGGAAGTTGGCTGCCGAAGTTCCAAGGTCATCTTCCTGATCTGCGCCCACAACCTTACAGCCATTGACAGATCAATTAGTGAAGACGCTCGGTGACCATCTATAGATGGGGTCTAGGCCTTGAAACTTCCCCGTGAGAATAAAATTTGGCGGCTGATACCTGGAATATCGTGAGTATACTAAGGCACACTACGGTCGGATAAGTCGGCCAGAGTGATATGATGCATTGAGATAAACTCTCTGGGGGCGACTGGACGAGCCACAACTTGTCTGGCGAGAGAGAGCATCTGATTCCAGACCTCGCTCGGCCTTGCGTGACAGTATCGAGTCATTGAGATCTGAGGCGTTTACCCGGAGACCCTCGACCCAAATTGGGTTATGCGGAAGTCTAGACGCACTTACGGCCAGTGTGGACATCACCAATACTAGCCCCGTGGATGGAACGGAGGTTGTGCAACTCTACATTGTCGACACCATTGCCAGTGTCGATGTGCCTAATCGCAAGCTTAAGGCGTTCAAGAAACTTTGCATCAAAGCTGGTGAGACTGCTACCAGCGCTCCGCACATTTGCCAAACTCCACCATAAAAATATGTACACTTCCTATTCTGGTTGCAAAGACAAATACACAGGTCGGGGGCATTGAATAGATCATCTTGACCATTAAGCTTTAAGTCACACAATGATAAAATAGCTATATACCTGCTATCTTGCGCCAACGTGTCAGACTCGCTGCCAACAACTAGAAATCCTCCCTAACTTGCAGAACCCAATTTTACACGGGTTATATATCCTTACTCCTTATAATAGAAGCAGATAGTTGATAAGATTTTATTCTCGTGCCCCCCTAGATTTCGAGAGTTTCGGAGCCCAATTGCCGGTATGGTGGTTAGAATTAGATTATGATTAATTAAGGTGCTCCGAGTTGGGGCGCACTCGGCGATATGTGGCCGGGTATTGATGGATTTCCGTCACGATGTCCGAAGCAAACGGAACCCGAAACACCGAAACACCGAAACACCGAGATTTGTATACAATATCCATTGATAGGCACCGCATTCTCTTGCATATAACATCGAAAAGTGGTTTATCTGTCTGCCCTTTATACTTAATCACTGTGGTTTGCAAATCTTCAACATACAACTAAGTTGGCTTTCCTGAATTCACATACGGCAACATCAAATCATCAATGGCAATGGCCAGAGGAATGAGGAACATCGAAAAGGTAATTGGATTGGTTGGGAAATGCCTGCAAAGAGCCGTGATTGACATACATAATATGATCTCTAGGTGATTATCATCGGCGGTGGTCCCGCTGGCGTGGCCGCAGCGTTGCATATACAAGAGAAGAACAAAATCTCATGCCAAATCTACGAGGTTCGCAGCGAGCCAACCACGCTCGGGGGAGCCTTAGGCATCCCGTCGAACGGCCTACGACTTCTCCACCGCATGGGGCTCTACGACGCCATGATGGCGAAAGGGTCAGAGACATCTAAGCTCAACTTGCATTCTCTCAGTGGCAACGAAATGGGCCAGATGGACATGACGTCCTGGAGCAAGCAGCAAACTGGGTTTGGCTACTTGAGGATTTGTAGAACAGACTTGATGGATGTGTTCCTCGAAACTGCTAGCAAAGCTGGCGTACCTATCCATTTCAACAAGCGTCTCACCAGAATTGAAGAAAAGAATGATAAAGTCACCGCCTTTTTCTCGGATGGCACCAGCGATACAGCAGACTTCCTCCTTGGCTGCGATGGCATTCACTCTGCCGTACGCAAGTTACACGTGGATCCAGACTGCACACCACAGTATTCGGGAATTTCGAACGTCTTCTCTCTGATTCCCACATCAGAACTTCCGCCCGCTGCTTCATCGCTGGACGCTCTCAACGCGACACTGACCACGGATGGGATGCTTGTCGTGAGCCCTGCGACAGCTGCTCGCGATATGGTTTATTGGTTCTTTTCGCGTGAGATCACCATACCCACAACGGGAGACACTCGCGACGGATGGGAGGAGAGGGGTAAGAGGGAGGTCGACAACCTAAAGACCACCTTGATCAACCTGTTGGGAGACGCTAATGCCCCGTGGGTGAATATGCTAAGAGATGTGGTGCGGAAGACGGATGTGGTGAAGTTCTACCCGATTTGTAAGATCCCTCCTGGCAGACCATGGTCCAAAGGGCGATGTCTCATTATCGGTGATGCCGCACATGCCATGCCCCCTCACGCCAGCCAAGGCGTGTCTATGGCATTGGAAGACGTCTTCTTGTTTTCGAATCTCATGACCCATCATTCTCGAAACCTGGGTACCCACAATTCTCAAAGCCTGGGTGACCTTTTACAATCGTATGAAAATAAACGCAAGGCTAGGACTGACCAGATGCTCAAAAATGCAGAACGGAACGGTGATGTCCGCAAAAAGAAAACGCCATTGCGTCTCTGGGCGAACGAACTTGCAATTTCATGGGGGCTGCGGATCTATGGAATGGTCGGTCTGGATAAAATGGGGATAGGACAGGGGCCCCTGGCCTATGATGTCGAAGAGGAGCAATTTTGATGACTGCAAAGGTGATTGGCTCCTACATGGGCGGGCTCGCCAATGCGGTAGTAGATGGCTTTATAGAGGGGTTTGGACTGTACACTTACTTATTTAAATACGTATTTTTAGACTACAAGGCAGAATGCATTACACATTGGAACTTACCTTGTCGGCCAGCTCTCAGTAATCGTTTATGTTGGGATCATTTATACAAACAAGACACTGTTTCACACCATCTGTCAGACTGGGATACCATTGCTGGCGTGTCTCCAGGGCTGGTCGGGGTCTTAGCCAATACCTAGGTAGACGCTCCTGACCTCAGGGCCAGCAGCGAAGCTTTGTGGTCCCTAGCGGATTTCAGGGCCTAATATACCCCGCTGCAGCACACAATCGCACATTCCGATCGTTGCTATGTTTCCAAGGTTGGCCTAGCGCCGGGCAGTAAAATTGTCTTATGTAATCACTTAGGAGCTGCGACCTAGTTAGGTAAGTTAGCGTGAGGATTACATTGCATATCTGCAGGGCTGCCATACAATCAGATTGCAGCATATTGTTTCCTCAACGTGGAAAGCCGGGAAGTGCTATGGAGCACTCAAAAATTTTAAAGACTTGCAACGAATGTAAAGCCCGCAAGGTCAAATGTGAAAGTAGGCATCATCCCCCTTCCAAAGGTTGGTCTTCCCGCTTAGCAAGCATGCATATTGACAATGTCCCAGTAGTGGCAGGCACACATGGTTCAACCTGCAACAATTGCAAAGTGAGACCCATAGCTATAATGACCATTGAAGAGATCGTGCTCAGATAATGCCCAGAGACGTCATGTCCCCTGTCATTTTGGGCCAAGAAAGAAGAGGAACAAACCAGCGGGGGCACATGTCTCTGACGGTCGATCAAATGCTGTTGGTGCATCGGATAGTCAGTCCCCTTTTGATACTACTGTCAGCGTCGCTCCATGTCTCACTGTTTTAGTTGGAACCTCTTGTTCAGTCTCCCCGGCTGCCGAGACGTTTCCGATAGGGACCAGCGCTCAAGCCTTGACTTACGGTGTGGACACGAATTCTGCATCAATTACGTCAGGAAATTTGTATGTAGATTATATCCTTGAAAATGGAGCAGATCCTGGAAGGCGCCGAAACGAAAATTCAATATTAAAGGTTACTACCCCTCACTCCTCTGAGCATCAAAATATTAACATTCCAGCGCCCAGGCCCATGATAAGTACGGTAAGCCATCGCTTCAAAACCTAACTTGGATATATGAGAGGGTTAATAAATCGCAGTTGGGAGTTCAAACATAGCTTTCTTCTCCGATCAGAGGATTGCGTCCATTTCTGAGCGCCTGGGCCATGCAAAGTTCCAGGACATCTTTTCAAGGCTCAGTGATTCAGTGGACGGGCGAATGGATTGGGATCTACGTTCTAAAAGCAGATCAACGGGTTCCAAAGCTCCTTCGGCATATCTTCACATTGAGGCACAATCGGTGAACCTATATATTGCCAGTGCGTCTCTGTCTGGTATTACTCTATATTTTACGCTCACAGTTGTCGACCAGGGTATTTCGAACAAGTTCATCCAATATATCCCTTTCTTCAGCGGCACGAGTTCGAGCGGAAGGCTCTCGACAACCGATGTTCTCAATTCTGCAAAGAATGTGCTCCTTTTTCAGCCTTATACCACACGGTGCTAGCTCTTGGCTGCCAACGTCTAGGTGGTGAGACTTTCCGGCTAGGCTGTTCCCCATCTTGGAAGCTATTCCAAGTCGCATTGGGGCTCTTTGCTGAGATGATAACCACAAAAGAGACTTTGACGCATGTTCAGGTAGGCTGTCGTCCCCAGCTTCACGTCATTGTTACTAAATAAATAAAATTAGGCTATGATCGCCATGGTTATTAAACCCACCCAATCCAAGTTCTGGAAGCCAAGCTAACCCGGAGCAGGCTGTATTTGCTCGCAACTCGTCTGCTATTCAGATCGAGAGGCTATTGACCACAGAAGCCGCCAGGATTGCGCAGTCGATCGGCATTAACCGGGCTATGTATGCGGATGAAGAAATGGAGCTATGCCAAAGGGCTTTCTGGATGATTTATATATTAGAAAAGACGCAGACTTTTGCTTGTGGCAGGGACTCGGTAAGTGTTTCCCCGTTCAATAACAGAGAATTACTTAAATAACAAGAGCAGATCTTGATCGACAGCAATATCGGCACCCCAGTTCCCCGAATCCCAGACGCATTGTTTGGCGGTTTTAACTACTTCCATACATTGTGTCGCTTCAGCCGAGTGCTGTCCAAAGCAAAAGATACGCTTTTCTCGATAAGCGCAACCTTAGTTCCTTCCAGCAAGATATTAACCAACATTGATGCTCTTACTGGCGAGCTTGAGTGCTGGAAGAAGTCCATCTGCGAGGACTTTCAGCCTGGGAACGATTTCCAACAATCTGGCAGGCTAGACAGCCTATCGATTGCACTGAAACTTATGTTGAGTTATCAATACCACGGTGCTACGATTGCTCTAGCTCGACTCAAAGTCAATGTGGCGAGTTCAGAGGCAGATCCAAGCAAACTTCAGGCTGAACAAGTACTTTTACGTGCCTCCCGCTCCATCATTGAGCTTACCAGATACATCGATGTTGAAACATACACGCCAATATGGTTAGTACATTGTTGTCATCATCGCGAGTATCCAATGGCTGCTTACCATTGAACAAGGACTCTGCTTTCGGTCCCATTGTCGGCTATTTTTATACTTTTTGACTTTGTGATACGCAATCCGTGTCACTCAGAGACCAAAAGCAACATTGCCCTCTTAGGCATTGCGGCCGGATATTTTTGTCGCCTAGAATTTTCTTCGGGTGGGATATTGCAAACGTCACTTCTGTCTGATCTTGCCCAGATTGCTCGGGATTACATCTCAGACATGAAAACTAGCGCTACAGCAGAGCCTATGGAATTTTTAGGTACTCCATATTCCTATCACCACTCACAGCCAGAGGAAGAAGAACTAGAGATACGGCCAGCGCTGCCAGCTTCTGTAAGTCAAAATCCAATCGTATTAGAGTTAACAACAAATTTCTGATGGTGGTATGCGGACAGGGAGAGGAGCTTTTTGCAGCGGTGCAAGATCCACTACGGTATGGCACCACAAACGAAAGAGTTTGTACTTTTCGATCGATACTGATCTCTTCCTTATCGAAAGTAGATTTTCGGAAGGTGTCGACTTGACCAGCTTCTTTGCCGAACTCCCAGATTTTGTTGATCCTTCCATCTTTGATTTGCGGTAAATCCGCCAATTGTCGCATGACATCGTATTTCCAATTGTACTGCAACTGCTTCGTGGGCTCGATTAAATACAGCTGGATATAAGAATTGTATAGAGTGTTAAGCTAAATATATCAGACTACTCTTGCGCATGATACATTTAACAGGCTACCTACAACATAACTACATGTAGAGAGACCCACTACCTACGGCAGTGTATAACCGCCAGTGCGCCATATCGTATTTTTCTACATTAAAACTTGACTTCCACAGCGTCAATTTACTATTGCCCCCTTCGTACAAATTCTAGTAATTAAGATTGATCTTCAAGCGGATTTTGCCAAAGAAGGGCCTTGACATGTAGATCATACGTCATGTAGGCGATATGATGCAAGCTCTCTACTATCTATCTCCTTGGTAGGAATGATTCCAAGTACCAGTATGATGCTGGAGCAGCAATCAATCAAAACAGTCTTGTCAGATGAAATGTTTAAATTCATCTTCTTGAGAGAGCTGAGATCGTTGGGACCTTCGCTGACAAGGCCTTTGGGGATGCCGGGGATGTCAGTTGCCAATATGCAAAAGGGTTAGCATGCTTGTCAATTTTGTGGTTATTGCGATGGAAGAGGATATAAGGGCGCCCACTCTAGGATACTCCTAGTCGCCTAAGATACGTGAATTTCTTAATCCCCTGTCGCCCTTAGGTACCAGCACTATTTTTCCGCCTAGCTGAGTGTCGGGCACGTACAGTACGCTCATGTTTCATATTTCGTAAAGATGATCTGGTTCCGCCTGGACCGGGCCCACCCAACCTGGATAAATCTTATAGAGTACTTTACTACTCGAAGCTGGAGTAGACCTCATTAAAAACATTTAGAGGGCGGGCATCTCCCGCCCGACCCTCCGCCCTCATTGGCATAAAAGAAGTTGACCTTTCCTAATTTAGACGTATAAAACTGCTAAGTCATCTGAATAAATTACTGTTATTTAACACTGTTCTGGTTTGAATATTAGTTTTATAATCTATTTCTTTATTAGTATTAAGAAATTTTAAGAACTCAAGTTGTATTATAATTAACCATAGTAGGTAATAGTGATATTATAGATTTTTAATCTCTTTAAAAAAGTAGTGGTTGGTAATTTAAAAGTTGCTAACAGCGTTTTTGCTACCAGAGCCGAACGAGAGAATCAAAGATGCTACCCACCAAGTATTTAGGCCCCGGAAGCTTTCTATCTGTATGGCGTCGGCATTGAACTTATACGAAAGAATTGAATTTCGCTCTATTATGAAACATTGCAAAATTCAAGTTACGCAGGTAATTGTAGAAAATATGAGCATCTAGGTCATGTACTCTCAAGGTTGAAGCACAACACTGGAACTTGGTAGGCCACTGCCTTCACAGAATGCCTAAATTCCCACACAGACGTAGCTGTCAAACCTAAGTCCACTACAGTCTCTTTGACGCTGGGATTCCAGGAATTGAACTGCAATTCCATAAGTTAGCAAATGCTCAACTGATGGGGAAAACGGAATCGTGAGCACATACATTTTTCAGAGTGATATCATGGGCAGCGGCGATGTCATAGCATCCATCACCGTCCACAACCTTGTAATACTTCTTGCACGTATCAATAGTTCCCGGCAAAGTCTCAGATGGGCTAGTGGTAGTGCCATCACCGGTAGACGTGGGCTTTTGAGTAGTTGTAGAAGACGGAGCTGTGCCACCCTTTACCCCCACACAGACAAAGTATTCCGTTTTGAGAGATTTACAACCCTCCCCGATGGCGGGGTTCCAGTCATAGAACTGTCAAAGGGTTAGAATGACCTCCCAGGAAATTTCAAAATGTGCAAGGGTTACTGCTTACCTCATTAAGTGTAATATTATACTTCTTTGCTAGGTCAAAGCATCCCCATCTTCCACATAATGCCAGTCATCACAATTGGATGCGACGCCATCTTGGGTTGGTGAGGGATTGGCACTGCCGGTTGTAGTTGATGTCGACGAGCCAGTTGCTGTCCGCAAACCAGTCGCTGTCTGCGAGCCAGTTCCTGTAGTGTTCGTTGAGTTTGAACCACCAGAAACAGCAACGCAGACATAGTATTCAGTCTTGAGGGTGCGGCAGTCAGATCCGACGCCAGGGTTCCAGGAATAGAACTGAGGAGAGATCATATTCACAAATTATAGGGCGAGCCGGTTCGCAGTGAAATAGGCTGTTCAGGCAAATGTGGCGATAGCCAGTTCGAGCTGACCGCAGACACCTTCACTGACGCCTTGGGAGAAGGGCAGTGTTTCCAAGGCCACCGCTCCTTATGCTGCGACTCAATTGAACTTCTTGATCAGTGCTACTGGAGTGGCTGTGAAGGTCCTTTAATGCCATATCAACTCATCGGGGAACTTGAAACTGATGGGTGCAAGGATGGCTATGAAAATGTGGCCTCTCGGTATGATACAGATGAGGGGGGATGGTGCTCACGTGAATTCAACAGTGACTTGCATGATAGATTCAAGCGAGGCTTATGCTGTCCAAAGTCCAAGAAGTTCGACAACTGCAATTGGACGACCGAGGATGCCATAAGCAAGTTGGATGACGCTAACTGTCAGCCACGTCAATGCAAGAAGACTCAGACTAGCATCTCGGAGGCATATGAGCCTACGATCAATCCTTATTCTGCGAAGTACTGCATAGGCGACTGCACTGTTGGGGATCAATGCACTGCGAATCCAATTCTGCCCCAGTTTGATCCTGCCTTCCATCTCTGTTGTGACCCACCCTCCGAGTATAATGAGGATTGGCCTGTCCCACCCTCATTTCTTTGGGAAGATGCCTATGAGGATGACGGTGACGATGTTGCCTGGGCTTTTGCTGACAACCAGAGCAACAACGATGAGGAATCGAGTGATGATCCAATTGAAGAGGATCCTTCAGGTAAATCAACCCCCTCTTGGATGCGGGTATGAATTTACTAATCACCACGGGACAGATCATGCGTATGGCTTCCTAATGTTGGATGGCCCCTCGGAATCCATCGACAATGCCTTTGGCGATTCATACACTGTTGCCCGTCGCAGCAGTAAACTACCCAATCGAAGACGTTCGATGATCACTGCCAACACTACTGTCTTGGACTCAACTTTTGATCACGCAGAAGAGACTATATTCGTGTACTGCAACCACCCCAAGGGATCTCCTGAGTGTCAGAAGATCTTCCGCAAAGGTGCTGAAGATACGATAATCAAGCTGGCAGATCATATCGGAGAAGGTCCATTCGCCCGCGTTGTCTCCATGACACAGGCCCCACATACCTATGAGCTTCCTCATCACCATGTCCGAGCTCGTTCTGTGGAAAGCAACGAGAACGAAGTATACGAGCTCAAGATAGACTACAACTTACATCTCATCAAGCGGGACGATGGTCCGATCAACATGCGCATTGATTACACTAATCTGCTTCCATATTGGGATGAAGTAACGGACTCTAAGCCATCATCGAAGAAGAGATCCGTCCACGAGAAACTTACCAAAGATGATTGGAAATCCCTTATCAAGGACATGAAAAAGAGAACTACCTCGAATAGTACCTCAGTCAAGCTTGGTTCCGGCAGCACTGACATGATGGAGACTTCGGAAACTGGGCTAGGCAAGCGTTGGTTTGGTACATTCATGGGCTGGCTGAAAAAGATGAACACCGTCGAAGCTGGAAACGATGGTGTCCTCAACATGGCCTTCCAGAAGAGCTTTCTTCTGTACCGAGCTGTTAAGGGGTGAGCTATCTTCAATCCAAATCATATTATTCGAATTCTTATAACTAACTACAACATACAGATGTGCCCGTCGAGCCTTCTATGCAGAGATGAGAATGTACCTCGATGCTGATGTTCAGATGGACGCAACATATGCTTACTATCTCTCTGGGACTATCGTTCCATTGAAGGTGGATGATACTTACGGCTATTTGGGTATTGAGCCAAGCGCATATCTTGGATTGCGTCTTGAAGGAAACGCCATAATGACCTACACCTCAGAGTGGAGAAAGCTCATTGACACACTTGCGTATCCTGGCTTGAGTATCAAGGGTATAGCAACTGTTGGGCCGAGTTTGGATATATATGGCCGGGTAAGTGCTATGCGGCAAAGCATTCGTATAATCGGTATACTGACTATGGGACGTTTTGAAGATTCGCGGTAGTGTGACTCTGAATGGACAGGCCAAGGCTGGCGCTCGAGTGCACTTTGGCCGTGCAGAACTCTACTTCCCACAGGATGAAGAGGGGACTAAAGGCGATACGGACTACGACAAGATCGAAGACATCAAGTCTCAGCAAGAGCGACCGAAGACTGGTCTGGAGCCACAATTCTACGCATCCGCTCAAGCATCCGCAAACCTTGCCATTGATGTCTCTCCCAATGCCCGGATTGGTATAGAGGTAGGACCGGCCATTTTGGGCAAGGGAAATCTGGTAGACGCCCAGATTATAGCCTTTATGAACAGCACCCTTGACTTCTCCGCTACTGTGACTGGATCAGTTGGAACAGACAGCGATCCTACCTACGCCTATAAATATGGTGCCTATCTCTACTACAATCTAGGCTATGGAGGATTTGCCAACATTCTCGGTGATACGTGGAATTGGCACTTCACGCCAGTCTACCTCTACAGTCTCCCAGGTAACAAATACACGATCTATGAAAATAGCAACGTCAAAGCAGACGCCACGCTCAACTCAAAGAGAAACGTCAAGATCCTGCCTGATTCTGATGAAAAGGGACTGTTCCATGATGATTATGATGATGCAGTTTGGGATGACAGTGGCCTTGAGCCATATGTTCCACCTGCTACCCATGTTCACCACCGCAGAAACCATATGCACCTCCATCACAAGGTACACAGCTCTCATGATGGGAAATCAAATGCTACATCATCCAGTCCCGATGTGGGCTCTGTTATCTTCAAAAGGGCAGACAGTGATGATGAGAAAGAGCCAGACACGGCGAGTAGCTCTTCGTTTACCGGCTCTCAGAAATTCGATTGTCCTGCGTCCGGGAACAAACAACCAACTCTTCCAGAATTTCGCTGTATGTACTAACACTCACCTTCCGTCCGAATTATGATTGACTCCCACAGATAACTGCCAAGCATTCTCTGCCAACCAGGTTGTTACCACAGACGGCTCGTCACAGACAATTAGAGGTATCTGCGACGGCATCTTCGGATGGTTTGGGTCAGATGGCGCCAGCAGCGATGGTGTCGAACTCAGTTGGGATCCTAACCGGCGCGACAAGAGAGACGCGTACACATGCAACAGTTAGAGAGACACAAAGAAGAAAAAGACGAAGACATACTGTACTGACCAGAAGGAGAAGCTCAATGCAGCTGCTGGTCTTGGGAAGAAGGCTAATACGATAAGCTGCGATGAGTTTCCCTTTGGTGGGGTTGAAGAGGGTGGAAACTGGGGCGCCAAATATAAACCACACAGAGTTCCCCCGACTGCCAATTGCGTGCCCGTGTGGCAGCAGTCATTGCAAGGAAATTGTAACGGTGAGTCTTTCTACCCATACATATTCTAATTGGATGAATTGACTGACGGCTTCAGGGCTTTTGAGTACTTTGTACACCAACGTGGCTTACTTCGACCGTGATACCGACTCGGATAAAGATGATGATACAGATTCGGATAAAGATGATTGGAAACTTTGGTCCGCTGGGAAAGATGACAACGAGGACGATGACGAGCGATGGACCCCCGGCGGAAGCGAGAGTGATACAAACCAGCCAGTCTTCGGACGTCTGACGCGATATCCCGAGCCAATCCCTCTAGCTCACGGCATTGATGAAACTGTAAGTTCAATGATTCATTCAGGCCCATGGTTGATTATTCGATTTACTGAGAATGTTACAGGAATGGGAAAACTCCGGTCGAACGCTTGGCTATAATTTCAAACGCAATTTTACAATGGGCCTTGCGTACGCGACGAGTCTTTCAAATTCGCCCGATCAATGGGGTAAGATGGCGTTGACCAATTCCGAGCTGAGGAGAGCCTCCGCAGACACAGACCCCACACATGTCTTTTGCGCGATAAACCTATTCGACCAGCCAGATGTCTATCGATACGGTAGTAATGGTAACGGGTATTGTCTCGATACGCGCAAGGGAGACAACGGATGGCGCGATGTAGAAGGTATGGTCACGGCTCTGTGGTCTTATTGATAGTGCAGATGAACACAGCTGACGCAATTTCCTCTCAAGGCTTTGGAAGACGCCCTGAATACACTATGTGCAAGGTTAACTTCGCTGGGAGCACCTTCGCCGACCAAGTGGCTCCTGCTTCGTTCAGCAAACGTGACCAGGATGAGTCGATGGGCGGGAATGATCCATGGAAGATTGAAAGTATGTGCCATCGACTCCTAATTTTGGATCAAACTAACCATATACCTTCTTTTCCAGGTATTGAGCTGCTTGATGCGGAGGACGGGGGCCCTCTGTGGGACGATGTGGACTGGGAGGACATGAAGTTTGAGCATGCAGCAGATTCAAATTAACTTGAAACGTCTTGTCTCTAAGAGCCAGATATACTGGCTTCAGTACAATAGACCTTTCCTTATTATGTCTCTTATGTTTCTTCCAATTGATTTTATACAATTTTCTTTTCTCTAGCACGCGGAGTATTTTTCAGGGATCATCTTCACCAGACGAGAATGACTGGCTTTATATCTACATGTACTAGCTCACACACGTCTTCAAAGAGTGTATGGGGGACCTCGGCTTCCACCCTCCTGATAAGCAGGACCGACTTCTCCACGCTCACCTTCAAAGTCCCCTTTCCAAACACGCTCAAACCAAGCACCATCATAATTGCTCTCCGATCCATCATCCTGCACCCGCCATTGCCTGACCACATTCCCACGGTCGTCCAAAAACACATGCAACAAACCCCCGCCATTCACCGCGACATCATCCTCCACATACATATGGGTAACAACACACTCTGCCTGATACAGAGCGTAGGGCTCAAGAGGGTTTTCATCCCAGTCGCCTTCTTCGGCATCCTCTATCGCGTCCCTGAGGCTCTCCTCTCTGATCTCAAAATTGACCCGCTCATTTGCGACACGCTCAGGAAATATTTCCAGAGCAGCTGCCAAATCCAGGCCACCGAAGATACTTTCATCGTCAAGGACAACCCCATCATAAGTTACCCATTCTGCGAGTTCATTGGCAGACCATAGAGCATTATGACCCTCTTCATTCGTGTAGCAGAGACGAAGCCAGCAGCCATTGTCAGCAGTGGTGTTATGACCGTAGACACGCAGTGCTTCAGGCCTTGCAGGCCGAAGAATATCATCTATTTGAGCTTGAGTAGGAGAGGGTGGTGCATTGCCTGGTCGATAAGGCTAATAATTTGATATTCAGTTAGTTCAATGTTGTGGTCTTTTACGAGGTATAGAGGGCATCCACCTGTCTTCCTTCGCATCCCAATGCGAGAAATTGGCGTAAAAGCCTTTTGCGACGGTCGGCGGGGGACTCAGTGGAGACTGAGGGGTCTGGGTGAGGTTTTTCCCATTCGGAAAGCAAATAAATATCCAATCTAGTCTTCCCCCAAGCAGGTATCCGGGGGTTATGTTTTTCAATGAAGTGGAGTGGCATTTTGTCCTTCGTCGCGTGGCGTGGGAGTTCTAGGAGGAAGATACACGGAGAAACACACCAGGCATAATATAACTAGTCCGAGATTTGGCCATTCTATACTTCGAAGGGATCGCTGCGTCCGTTACATCGGGTATAGCGCTGTTCTAGCACCGCAGTGGCCCCTTTTGCGGGCACGTTCCGTTATCCTTCCAAGAGTCCGATGCATTTACTTTTTCACGTCTCCACATGTGCATGTGGGTCACGTGAAATTTAGCCCAGACCATTGAAAGAATCAAGGGGAGCTAAGTTTCAAACCAACGGACTCAAGTGAATAGATGACATTTCGAAGAAAGCGAATTCAACATTCATCAAATTCCTCTTAAGGTTGTATGCTCGATGTTGGGCTGAGCCCGCGGCTTGGTTAGGTAAGCAAACACGTGATATCTTCTGCCTGAGGTGTAACAAACGGCCCGACTCACCGACCCGACAATCTGCCGTTATCTACCCCCAGACTCCAGCTGTCAATATCCAGAATCCGCGTGGTTGCGCCCCTACTCCCGTCACCTTCTTGTTATAGCTCGATCACGCCGGATCCAGAGCCAACCCCAAACAATGCACGTCGAACTCTTATGCTACCTGCTGGTATGAGAGGTGCCAGTTCAAGCCTTTGGACAATTCGAACAAAGTGCCAAGTCGTGGGTGAGCTGACAACATGAGCTCAGCTTCACAACCCAACGAAGCTCCGTCGCAACAGACCATGGGCGGAAAGTATGCTGCAAATGGAGTGAATGGAAGCGCAAAGAGCGAACAACAACAAACATCACACCCTCTACAAACAAGCCTCGGCAGAGTTGACGATATGACAGTAGCCGGGCCTTCTTGATAGGGAACGTTATCTTGTAATTTCCCTTCTTTCCCCGCGGAACTTGTGTACGCTGTGCTTGAGCCAACAGATCCGATACCAAAGTCATCGGGGCAAATGCTAGATCCAAAGGTGGACGGTGAACTTTGGGCATTGACGCCGTCGATGTACCTGCTGGCCGCTCTGTTTCATTCGCGACGGCAGTGATACGATTCACTGGGGAGGTGCCCGAAAAGTGTAAAAACAACAGGATCATGCAACTGATGTAGCTTTTATCGGAGTATTGACTTCGTCCATTTGACGGCTTCTTCGTTTGTAAAGCTGTGCCGAGGCTCTGCACAATCAATTGATTTCCAGAGGCCATGACCTGGCCGGCACAGATACCGTGAGCTTTAACTTGCGCCGTGGTGTGTGGCCTATTGTTGATAAAATGGCCTTACTGCACGGGACTAGCATTAAATAGTGATTGAATACGGGATAATAACTGAAACGAGTTTGAGCTTGGCAGTACATTATAATGCCGCCCCGGCCAGCATTGTTGATTTCTGAGGCTACGTCTATAGTTGCGGGCCCTTTAGAATCAACGGGATGAGGGTCGTTCTGGCAGGCAGCAGAATTGGGCGCTGTGTAGCCTCGCTATGGGATACCAGCCCGACGCCAACATCTAGAAAACGTAAAGTGCTTGCTCAAAGCATGGCCGAGCTTACATTGGGTTGACCATGATGATCTTCACCATATTTACTCCTTCCATTGTCATTCAGCTAGGGAGCGTCCGTGTTCTAACTCCATGTTCAGACTCGCATGGACCACTGGAAAGCAGCCGGGACTTGAAATAAAAGGTATCTCGATATCAACTGAGTACCAAGTTTTAGTTACGTATCCCACCGTCGGGTTTTAGAGCACACGCCACTAGTTTTCCGCGCTTTTGTATGATAAAGATGTTCATTCTGATTGAGCTACATCAAAAATCCAAGTCTCTGTCCCTTGTTTAAGGCGTACATATGATAGACAACATCATTTCTTAAATCATCAATATTCCGAGTCGCTCTCATTGCCTGACTGCTGCATGTTCGGATAATGCATATTCGTATTCTGCATTGGCCGCTGGAATGGCTGCGGCTGCTGGAACGGCTGCAGCTGCTGGAGCGGGTACTGCTGCTGGAGCGGGTACTGCTGCTGGAATGGGTACTGCTGCTGGAACGGATACAGCATGTTCGGCTGCTATATGGTCGGCTGCTGCATGGTCGGCTGCTGTATGTTCGGCTGCTGCATAAATTGCTGCATAAATTGCTGCATATTAAGTGGCTGCTCTATATTCAGCTGCTGACCATTTTGCGGATTACCATGTGCGAATTGCTGAGACATGCTGGAACCCGAATCTCCCGCCGCAGGAAGACCCAATAGCCCACGCTGCGCCCGCTATCTCTTGGACTTCAAGCTCAATCCAGACAACCCCGATAAAGCATCCTCTAAACAGACACCAGGATCAAAACCCATAGCCTCCGTGATCATTCTGTCCGCTTCCTTTAACGAAAGAACATCCTTTAGTGCTGATCTTGAGAGGCCAACCGTCTCCATAAGAACCCCATCAGGCTCTTGATAATAGAATCCAACGACGATATATAGGCATTTATTATATGTAGGGCTCATTTCCCCAACGACGACCCACTTCAGGCCAAGTGAACCTTTAGTCCTAGTCCGGATATAGTCACGGAGAAGCCTCACGTCTTCCCCTCGCCTAGTATAAGGAACACCGACAGACTTTGCCCCCTCGAGAGCCATATCGCCTCCAGCTACTACACTTGACACAAGACGTATTCTGCCATTCGCATCCTCAATCACAAACCGTGCGCCGCCGATCTTCCTAAGAGGTTGAATCATTTGAATCTTTTCTCCGGAAGAGGTATATCCGGGGTTAATTGAAAGTCTGGCGCCTCGTGGTACCAATAAGATTGTGCGTATCTGCCCTCCTACAGATACATGCTACAGCTGAAGCCCCATTTGATTAGTTGATTATAGCACCAACCCTAGCTCAAATACTTATAGTACTGGCTCCTGCTGGGGACCTCCTACCGAGTTGGTAGATGGTGGTACTAGCTCCTACTAGGGACCTTCTTCCGAGTTAGTAGGTGTATAAGCTAAATTTACCCATTCACTCAGGTATCTTTACTGCTAGCAGAATTGTTTAATGGCTTGCACCGCGCTAGGCTCTAGCTCTGGTTGAAGAGCGGCTGCTTTCCAATTTCCTAAGAAGCTATCATAACGAATAACCCCAAGGTCGACATCTTTTCTATTCTCGGTGTTTTTTTTTCCTTAAGTATTGATTGGCTATATCAAGGGATTTCATAGAAGCTTTGATATCCTTAGGGCAATCTGCGTTTTTAATATCAAGTTTTGGGTTTTGTTAAACTCCGAAGTAAAGGACTCTTAGATAAGGAGTTGCTTTTTTATGAGACCTTTTATGATAAGAGGATAGCCCTCTTTCAACGTGTACCTTAGCGGCAGCTCTTCCCTGATAAAATTGGTCGTGTCTGTTGACTTCCCCTAGGTAGAGTCGCGCGGACTCTTCTTCGACCCACTATACATACCACTGGAACTAGATTAACAAGCGTTGTTAAATGGTTTATAGTTGCTTATATCTAAAAGCAGAGTCTGCTTTTTTTTTCTCCTCCGGATCCGGATATTTATCGGGGTGAAGAAATGAATTTTAGTTCCTTATACCTGATGGTCATATTATTAGGGATTGTCGAACGAGGGACACTAATATGAACTAATACCAAAAACTTACTATACCGAGCAAGTGGTAAAAATGAGTGTGTATTCTAAAGAGCAGCAAGTGATCGACTATTTATCCTAGTATAGGCTTATAAAGCAGTGCCGATCCTCTAAGTACTCCAGCAAGTGATGCCTTAGGTGGCTACTGGATCTAGAAAGTAAATATAAAAATGACGGAGTGGGGTAAAGGTAATTCCGGCCGACAGGGATCTTTCTTTCCCACACACGCCTATTTTTAGTAGAGTCTCGTGGAGCTTTAATGATCGCCTAAATCAGATCCAAGCTATCCGTATGACTGAAATCTTTATATCCTATATCTATGTCCTTATCGCTATCGACGTTATAAGTAGAAGGGTTCGAGGAAGGCCCTGCCGGGGGTGGGGCATTGGGGGGGTGCGTTAGCGCTAGAGCAGGAGCAGGGTCCGTTAGCGCTAGAGTAGGAGAGGTAGGCCTTAACAAGTGCAGCTGCACCTCGAGAAATTCGGTGCAATGGCCCGGTGCTACGGGGTGCAGCGGTACCTTGAGAAATTTGGCGTAATTGCCCGGTGCTGCTGCACTATCGTTCGCTGCACCTCTTGGCGGTACAACCAGGTGCTGCCAAGGCCAGATTGTAACGGATAAAGATCCTTATAAAGAGAATACTATATCAGGCAGTCTTGGTAGATCGACCCCACGTCGTAGCCGATCCGAGAGGGGTTTATCATATGATATGCATGTCGACATTAGAGAGATAGATCCCTTATAGTCTGGGATCCCCTAGGGTCCCAAAAGAGACTGGTAAGAATTAGTCTTGGCACTACAGACAATACATTATGTTCTCCTCTAAGCTATAGTATCTTACCCGGTTGACAGGCCATACACCTGGAAACAGTATACCTTTACACCCCGCTACGCGAAGGCGATTGTCCAGTTCGACAATTGACCGACCGATTAATAAGACAGGCGACAGATCAGCATTCGGCGCAGCGGACTAAGGGCAAAAATGTCTCATCTCGCATGTGATAGTGAAAGCTAAGGTAAAACGGGGCTAGGCGAGCGAAAGCAGCGTAGATTGCACTCGAGGGATCTGACGAGTCGCGCCACGGACGACGGGGTGGCGGAGCTCGGTGATCCGGATCAATAGCATAAATGCCTCACCTATAGGGCACGGACGAAGACGAGGAGAAGGAGAAAGAAAAACCGGGCGGGCGAAACACAGCGAGAAGTTGAAGGGGCGATGGGAGGGATTATATAGAACGACGCACGGGGACGCATAAGGACAAGGAGCGCTAAACCAGAAAGGTTCAAGATTAAACCTAAGAAGGTAATTCGCAGTCCCCCTCCGATATGGTGTAGTGGCTAACATCGCCGTCTCTCACACGGCAGCCGGGGGTTCGATTCCCCCTATCGGAGTTTCCTTTTTATATCCATCGATTCATGTATATTTTTATGGAAATATATTGTTTTGTATGTCATTGACCTTGTTCAAGTAACGAGAATGTTGTCATTGATAGTTGAAGTCCTGGTGGAATCCATACCATAAGCTTTAGCCCCCAGGGCTATCACTAGAACGAAAGAGTGTCTGAAAGACATTGAAGGTATTGTAGTCACCGGATACCTATCTGTACTATTAATTTCTTGATATTCTCAGTTCTCTTATTGTCTTTCGTGCGGTTTATGTCTTTCCAGATGTCTTTTCGGATGTCTTTTCGGATGTCTTTTCGGATGTCTTTTCGGATGTCTTTTCGAGTGATTCGAGTGTCTTTTCGAGTGTCTTTTCGAGTGTCTTTTCGACTGTCTTCATAGATATCCTTTCACGTATCAACCAGAATTCTGATTTGAGGAAGATAAGATGGTGAGGAAGATAAGATGGTGACTTCTAACTTCGAACTCCTTCCTGTCAACAACACCCATGGACATGTCGGAATCCGCCTCTCGCTTGCCAGTCCTCGAACGACTGCTGGGATATCGCGGGCGCTCTCTCGATGTCGGACCTAGGAAGTCTAAATCCCTCCGTCTCATCTGATCTGTCTACTTTCGTCGAACGGAAAAGGTCTCTGAATGGTATTTCAGAGAGTTATCAGCCTTTGAATCCAGAAGACAACACAGTCTACTTTCTCCAGGTTGTTTTCAAATGGCTTCCCTCCGATGGACAAAGTAACCTAGTTGAAGACCTGGCCGGGTGTGAGGACGACAACGAAATTCGACAACATGCCGAGAGTTAGATACTGGGTTGTTATGGCCAATGTTATCTACAGGCGGGGAAACCCCCACCATGGCTTCCTCCCCCCGTCTTGATCTGGAGGGCTCAGGTCGAACACGTGAACAGCTTTGATGTGGAAGTACAATATAGTGACACGAAGTAACCAACAAAGGCTCCGGCGGAATTACTTAGCTCGGGGTGGCTTCCAGTGTGTCTTAACCAAGTGCTGGGACACACTGGACATCCTGTGCACTCCTTGCAAGCGGTGCACATTCTTCCATTCTCCCTTGGAAATTTTCGAAGTGATGACGAGCAAGACAGAGTGCTCGAAATATGGGCAACCATTTTCCGTTGCTTCCCGAACTTACGCTCCTGTCTGAATTTGATGTTAGGAGACGTTAATCGCGAGGACAACATCATAAAGATGGCTTCAATTTTCATGACGATTTCGGAAAATTTCGTTTTGTGCTCGAAGCTACCTCTATTTGAAACCGTCATCGATTAAAAAAATTCCCAAATCATTCCATCCTCGTGAAATATCCCAGGGAAGAATTCATTAGGACGAATCGTGACGCCCGGTTCCCCGATCCAAACCCGGGATTTCCAACTGTGCATGCTGCAGTTGGCAATATTCTCAATGCCAGTGACCATGCCGAGGTAATTGAAAAGCTGCTAGATTTGCACGCCGATCCTCTACTCGCAGAAGATGGGAGCACAGGCATCAGCAGCCTGCTTTCTCCGAGTGGACTGTCAGATTTAAGTTCAGGTGATAAAATGAAAACGACGCCATCAGCAAGGCCAAGCGAAGAGCCGTTCAAGATAGAATTTCCGGCACTCAATGGCGAGAAAGTGACCGCTTCTGTGCCGGGCACTCAAGCAACGTAACAGACGGCGGAGTGACGGAGCAATATGTAGGGGGAGTCTAGGAGGACTTCTAGACCCTACGTGCACTATACCATACCCGCGGAGATATACAACATACGCGCACCAACCCCTACAGCAACCCCATTCAAGTCACCAAAGCTCCAACCCGAGGAGGTGACAGTAGTGGATCAGCCAGTAGAACGATGCCGAGATCCCCATAGCTGATACGAAGCTGGTGCCTCTCCATCTGGCGTCTGCGTTAGTGGCCAAGGACGCCGAGTCAGTCATTCCTACTCCTCCGTCCCCCAGAATATCTACCCGATGCCTCTCGGTCTGTCTCCATCTATAGCTAAGGACGCCCACTCCGCCATTACCGTCCGCTAGGGACTTGAGCTAGGTGCATATTGATCTAGCGTCACCCCCGTATAATAAAAAACATGTACTCTGCTCTTCTATTATTTTCTTCGTCGACTCTAGCGGAACACGTCAATTCTAATCGTGATATAGACTCTGACGACTCTGGAGACAATGAGTTCCTCCAACTGAGGTACAGCAGTACCTGCCAGTCACAAACACTGACGGTCCAGTGCAAAACTTTCTCCAACTCAGCGGAGACGAGTTTACTGCATGTTACTCAAGAGACTACCTGAGAAGACTACGGCTGCATAAGCGGCCGACTATTCTTATTACAGTAACGGTAGAAGTATAGTCACGAGAACGACATGAATTGAATCTGTGCAGACAACAAGAACCGCCCATTAAGCATAGTTACCAAAATAGCAGCCGGAGAGATACCAAAAACGAGATGTCAAGACAGAATGCAACAAGGCTTAGACATTGGATTCAGAGCTTAGTGAGTGATAGATATGAAATGGGCCTAGAGATGACCATGAGGAACGATGTGCTAGAAGGACAGGAGAACAAAAAGAGAAAATAGAGATAAAATGAAAGAACAAAACAGTGCAGTAACCCACGCTCCCATAATACTCAATGACAATGACTCAGATGCACACGATGCAAGGGGAAAAAAGAAGAACAGAGTTGGATAGAAAAATCACGGCAGAGAACGAGGAATATGCACCGCCATACCGATTATATGGTAGGAGGGACATTCATTAGATCGACGCCTAAGACAAGATTCTTGAGGTAGAGGAATATCTTAGGTTTGGGATGGACTGGCGCTAGCAGCGCCTGTCGAGAGACCGATATTTTTCGAGAAAAGCCACACCATTTTGGGTTGGCGGAATATCCGCCGGAAGCATGTATTGGTCAAATCGCTCAGAATAGAGCATACACCAATCCATAGAATCAATTAAGATCCACCCGGAGAGCACAGCTTCTGTTCATGCGATGAAAAAGAATCATCAAACACCTTATTTCGCCGGAATTGATGCATGTCTAGAATGCAGGCTCAGTGGATAGAATCATGGCCAGAGATGGCCAGTTTCAGATCACTGAGCGATGCAAGAAACTCCCGCCCAAAACTTAGATGAAGTGTGTGTAGATCTTGGAATTCTCATGAACTTCCATTTCCTGTATAGTTATTAGTAATGGCACAATTGAAGTATAAAACAATTCAACTCACCATCTTAAAGTTGTTGATCTCCTCCCGAATCTGCTGAGCAAGCAGGGGGGTGAGACGGTTGCAAGTCGCAATCTCTCCACGTCGATCGTACTCGCCGCTAGGCCAGGTTTCGTGGAACTGAATGCGAGGACTGAAGACGATATTTCTACCACCAACAGCTGACGGCGTGATGGGTGCACTCTTCGCTTCAGAGGACGAGAACCGCCCTGCGTTCGAGAGGAAGTAGTCCTCGCCGGCAATCTTCACCGGATCATTTTGGTGAGCTGGGGATCGTGACGACTCATCGGGTGTGGGAGGAGCACTAGAGTGCGGTGAGTCACCACCGGCCAATGCGTGTGCAGGCGAAGAGACCCCGAAGTCCGAGTGAGTTTCTAATAAGGTTAGTCAGTATACCAAAACGCCAAGTGTATTTGTTGGAAATACGCACTCTTCAAGATACCCTTCCGGACGGCCGCCAGGATCTCCGCCCGTTCTCGGTCTCCTCCCACGATGCTCTTACGCGACTGGGAGTTCTCCGATGCGGCTCTTTCCCGAATGGAAGCGGATCGTCTGACCTCCGATGCATTGCCCTCAACCTTGGGGAAGACAGTAGCCCCACGCGGTAAATCTGCGGGGTCGGGATTGACAGCGACACTCTCCCGTTCTGCCTCGACGTTCACCACAGTGATCTGCGGGGGTGGGACTTCGGGGCCCGCACCCTCCATAGAATTGATGCTGGCCACCGATTTTGGACGGAACATGCCAACCAATGAGCGAGTAGAACGCTTCATGCCCTTGCCCATCTTGCGAAGCATCATCGACGCCGATGAAGCGGTCGATGACACAGACAGGTTATCGGTGGACCCGGTGAAGAAGTGGCCTTGATGGGAGTAGATGCTTTCACCTAGTCCGCTCAGTTCCTGCTGCTCAGCAATGGCAGCCTGTTCCGGGCCCAGTTGTTCCCTTAGAGCTTCACGGCGCGCCTGGTCCGCAGCAAATGCTTCCCGCTTGGCAGCATTGCTTTGTGCGGATGTCTTCAGGAGCTCGGACGCACTACCGAACGAGAAAGCCCGTCTCAAGCGTGATTTCCCGGGGCGCTTCGTTTCATTTTTCAAATCGTTGAGACGCTTCGCGGCGGGGGAATCCAGTGTAGGCGGTGTTTGCTTCTTTTGGGTTTCGACTGGAGGGTTGGGTTTGGGGGCTTCGGGTTCTGTCGATACTGGTTGCGATAATGGAGACGGCTTGCTCGTACGTTTATCTTCTGCCTTGCCGGTCTTGCTAGTGACGGAGTTAGACTCCGATGGCGTCCCTTCTCGTGTCTGTGAAATAGATATCGTTAGCTCCCGTGTTATTTTCATGCGCCCTTGTAAATGATCCTACCGAGGAGGTCGACGAGTGTGTCGAATGAACACTACCCACGCTGTCCCGCTGAGAGTGAGCGGAAGCAGGCCGTTGATTGGTATCAAACGTGATGAAGTCGTAGGATCCTGGTTGAGACGACGAGGAAGATGAAGTCGGAAAATCCAGCGACAGGTTTGGGTACGCTGTGGCATCCATATTGCCCAGGCTTCGTCGTCTATATCGTTCAGGCTGGGCCCTATCGACATGAGATGAATCATCCACACTTGACACCCGATTGTGAGCGTTTTGTCGAGCTTGTCGGGGGCCACCAAAATCATCGACGATCACGGTCGGAATTGGAGAGGGAGCAGGGGATGATGGCGCGGCTTCCGCTCGTTGAGGGGTACGACGATATCGATTCGGGGAGGGTTTCGGGGAGGAGATGTTCATGATGGAGGGGGAGGGAAGGTTGGCTGTAGACAGGGGACGGAGCGGCTGGTCGCTCCTCGGCTGCCGTGAGGGAAGTGCGCTATCGTCCTTGGAAACATAGGAACGGGAGGAAGAGTTGGAGGAAGTCGATACAGAACCAGCTGCAAGATGGGGGGATCGGGGGCCGGCACCGGTGTATGTCGGATTCACCGGCACTTGAGGGGTAGTAGGCGCGGAAAAGGTGCGATGTTCTGGCCGGAGATGTGGTGTCCAAGACTGCCGATTTTGGACGGTGGATTGGCCCATATTCGGGTTGTAGGCATAAGGAGCCACAACCTGGTGGCCTGCTCGATAACTCCCAGAATTACCAGCATTGAATGATGTCCAAGACATAGTCTGGATACGAGAGCCTGGATTCTGGGTTGGAGAAGAGAAGGTGCCTGATGAGGATGAAGGACGCGTCTGAAGCACAGGTACCGTGCCACTCTGTTGCGGGATTGTTTGAACCAACGCTGCCATATTGTTTTTTTCCAGCAAATTCTCAAAAGGATAGGAACCACGAGCTGTTCAGGGTCGTGATCAAAGGCAACTCGCAAATAAAGAAATAGATAGAATATGAGCCCGAGGTGTGTTCGCGTCAAATAGGGATCCGAGGAACGAAGCAGGATGCTGTAACCAAGGGAGCCGTCAGCTATCCATCACGAGTAAAATAAGAGCTCTCTTCAATGTATGAAAGGTGGAGTTGGTAAGGAAAGGGGTCGTGCTTTGCCTCTTTTTCTTTCTTTTGCCGTGCAGGTTGGGAGGATAAGGGACCGCGTCAGCCAGGGGGTAACGATACCTGTTCTAAAGTAACGTGGACATAGACTATAGTGATACAACCATTAAAAGAAAAGGACGCTTGATGCCAGAAGAATGAGACTCGAAACCAGGCGAGTTCGAAGAAACGAAAGGAGGTAAGATGGGCAAAAAAAAGAGAGGGAGAGTTCCCCAGGATGATGAGACGTCTCTAGAATAGGAGAGCCATGTACAAGAAAAAAAAAAAGAGAGAGAGAGGAAACAGAAATAACCCCAG